TAAGTTACAGCTGTATCTAGAATTATCACAATAAGTACCTAGAAGTACCACTGTAAGTACCACAATAAGTACCTCTAAGTACCACTGTAAGTACCTAGAAGTACCACTGTAAGTACCACAATAAGTACCTAGAAGTACCACTAGAAGTACCACTGTAAGTACCTAGAAGTACCTAGAAGTACCACTGTAAGTACCACTGTAAGTACCACCGTAAGTACCCCTGTAAGTACCACCGTAAGTACCACCGTAAGTACCACTGTAAGTACCACCGTAAGTACCACCGTAAGTACCACCGTAAATACCACCGTAAGTACCACCGTAAGTACCACCGTAAGTACCACCGTAAGTACCACTGTAAGTACCTAGAAGTACCACTGTAAGTACCTAGAAGTACCACTGTAAGTACCACTGTAAGTACCACTGTAAGTACCACTGTAAGTACCACCGTAAGTACCACCGTAAGTACCACCGTAAGTACCACCGTAAGTACCACCGAAAGTACCACCGTAAGTACCACCGTAAGTACCACCGTAAGTACCTAGAAGTACCACTGTAAGTACCTAGAAGTACCACTGTAAGTACCATGGACTTACCGGCCCGTAATGTAAAGTGTTACCGATTTTCTTAATGTGAAATGTTGAAATATTATTTGTATTTATTTCAGCTTTTAATCATAATTATAATCCTAATCAGTGCCACACAGTACTATTTTGAACTATGAGACGTTTCTTACTCTTAGGAGTGAGGCTTGTTATTTGTGATGTCTTTTTTCATACTTCTGAACAAAGAGCTAAAGTTTGATGATGATTTCATCACAACATCGGAGGGTCAGAAGTTTACATACACAATGTGAGCAGTGTCTTTAAACTTCTTAAAATGATGTGATGGCTTCAGAAGACATCACATAATTTAAGGCTGAGTTTACACGGAGACAATGTGGCAGTAAAACGGTATAGTTGGATGTCGGTTGCTACCAACCGTTCATACGAAGACTGTGTTTCAGGGGGGTGAAAACGTAAGTGTTCAGATCCAGCCTGCAGAGTGGGACAACTCAGATACGCTGCACAGCAGGGAGCTCTTTCACACCCGCGAGAGTGAACTCCCCCTCTGCTCTGACCCCCACCTCCGCGCTGCTCCCCGCACGTAAATTTGGACATGCGCAGTAGCGGAGAACAAACATCAACAAAGATGGCGGCGGTCACACTAACTAGCTTCGTGGGCTTCGAGCACAGCACAGAGGATAATTCTACTCCTTCGTTCTTCCAAACAAGACCACGCGAAGCTCTAGGTTCAGCTCCCATTTTCACAGCTGCTGCAGAATGATGTTGGTACTCTCTGAGGGTCTGGCACAGGAAGTGAATATACTGCCGAGAGGGGGGCTGGGCACGGGGCTGGGGGTCGTGTGAGTGTTGTAAAGTTTCTCTGCCCACTACTGGCCGGGCACTAGAACTACATCGTATTTCAACCTCATGTGAACACTGAGAAATTTGCATTAGGAGCCAGGTCGTTTTTGTTAATAGCCTGGAAACGTCTGCGCAGCGTCTCAGTATAAACAGGGCCTTAGTCTTTTGCCACTATGCCCAGGTCAGAAGTGTGATTTCTGACGTGCAAATCCTCTGGCTTCCCCCTGCCCAGGCATATTTCACCATCTTTTGGGTCCTATCGCACATGCTCATGCTCGACTGCCGGTGGTGGTGTAGTGGCTTCAGAAACCATTCCATCATTTGCCTTAATTTGAGGGGCACTTTTTGCTTTCCATAATGGGAAAATCCAAAGAAAGAGTAGTCTGAGCCTGCATGTATACTGAGACAAGAGTGGTCTGAGTCTGCATGTATACTGAGACAAGAGAGGTCTGAGTCTGCATGTATACTGAGACAAGAGAGGTCTGAGTCTGCATGTATACTGAGACAAGAGAGGTCTGAGTCTGCATGTATACTGAGACAAGAGAGGTCTGAGTCTGCATGTATACTGAGACAAGAGAGGTCTGAGTCTGCATGTATACTGAGACAAGAGAGGTCTGAGTCTGCATGTATACTGAGACAAGAGAGGTCTGAGTCTGCATGTATACTGAGACAAGAGAGGTCTGAGTCTGGACGCATACTGAGACAAAAGTTGCACTCTTTTTGGAAAGTCGAGTTGATCCTGGTTGTGTGGCGCCCATATTGTCGGCCTGTGTTTGTCAGTGAGTGATGCTTGGTGTAACCCAGTCCAGCATGTTGCCTCTCCTTCTTCACGCTCTGTGGAGAGTGGCCCCGTGTGCCTGAGTGCGTAGGAGCCGCGGTGCAGGAGGAGGGGATGCTGTGTGGGGAATGCCTGGAATGTCCCCGGCTGTTTACGGCCCGGGCCGGTTCACACCTGCAGGTCAGGGTGCTATCATAGGGCCCCTCCCCCGCCCGCCCGCAGCCCCCTCATTACACCCGGGTCGAGCTCAGAGGTGACCTAATTAGAAGCTCATTACATCACAGACCATCTCCATTAGCATGCCAAGCTACCCTGTTAATCCATTAGCACCAGCGAGGCCCCCAGTGCTGCCGTCACATTCCGGCCCCCGTTGGCCCGTGGATCGGGGCCCCTGGCTGCCACACACAGTACGTGCACCTATAGACAGCCTGCAGCGGAGAGATGGTAAAGGCCCAATGTCGGCAAATGACAACAGGGAAGGTTTTTCATGTAGGAACGTTTGAAGAGAACACCCTCAACATGTTTAGGGTTTACTATGACTTTTCAAATTATATAATGTAGTAAAGCCATTTTGAATAAACCATATATGGATAAATATAGATGAAAAATAAAAGATTAACAAAACACTTCCATCAAGTGGGGAAAAAACATTCTGTTATCATATTGAACATCTTTTTATTATATTGAACTTGATAGAATTGAAGGTGCAGTTGTAACACATTTAATTTGACTGAAGACATCTGTAATTGGGAAGCAAACCTTTAATAGGAGAGGGCTTTGTCCAGAAGATCATTTTTATTCTTTAACTGAAAATTAAAGATTAATATGTTATTAATTAATTGATTTGACAAGGGACAATGCACTTATTCATAGATACAAAAAAGGACCTGTGACTGAGCCCTGGGGAACTCCCGACCAAATGTATCTAAAATTGTCCAATTTACTGCACACATTATCTTATACCAGCAAGGTATCTTTTAATGTTTTGTATTATATATATATATAGGCAGGTCCTAAGAAGCCGGCTCAATGGCAAGAACAAGGCCCGGGCAATTAACAGCTACGCCCTGCCAGTGATCAGATACCCTGCAGGAATAATCAGGTGGCCAAAGGAAGAGATTCAGACCACGGATGTTAAAACTCCAAAACTCCTTACCATGCATGGCGGGTTCCATCCCAAATCCAGCACCCTGAGACTGTACGTAAGCCGTAAAGAAGGAGGCCGAGGACTAGTGAGTGTGAGAGCCACTGTCCAGGACGAAACATCCAAACTCCATAACTACATCATGGAGAAGGCCAAAACGGATGACGTACTCAGTGAATGTCTCAGGCAGTGGCGAGATGAGGAGGTGCTGGAGGAGGCCCATCATGGGAGAACAAGCCCCTACACGGCATGTACCACCGGAGCATAACAGAAGTGGCTGATCTCAAGAAGTCCTACCAATGGCTAGAAAGGGCTGGCCTACAGGACAGCACAGAGGCACTCATCATGGCTGCACAGGAACAGGCCCTGAGCACCAGAGCGATAGAGGCCCAGATATACCACACCAGACAAGACCCAAGGTGTCGGTTGTGCAAAGAGGCACCTGAGACGATCCAACACATAACTGCAGGGTGCAAGATGCTGGCAGGGAAGGCCTACATGGAACGCTATAACCAAGTGGCTGGCATAGTGTACAGAAACATCTGTGCAGAGTATGGGCTGGAAACCCCAAGGTCTAAGTGGGAAACTCCTCCAAAGGTGGTGGAAAATGAGCGTGCGAAGATCCTGTGGGACATCCAGATACAAACCGACCGAATGGTAATGAACCAACCTGACATTGTGGTGGTAGACAAAGGGCAGAGGACAGCCGTGGTGGTGGATGTGGCAATTCCAAGCGATGGTAACATCCGGAAAAAAAGAACATGAAAAGCTTGAGAAATACCAAGGTCTCAGAGAGGAGCTGGAGAGGACCTGGAGGGTAAAGGTGACAGTAGTGCCCGTGGTGATCGGTGCACTCGGGGCAGTGACCCCGAAGCTAGAAGAGTGGTTGCGGCGGATCCCCGGAACAACCTCGGACATCTCGGTCCAGAAATGTGCAGTGCTAGGAACAGCAAAGATACTGCACAGAACCCTCAAGCTCCCAGGCCTCTGGTAGAGGACCCGAGCTTAGAGAGGGATAACCGCCCGCGGAGGGCCAAAGGTGAGTGGACAATTTTTATATATATATATATATATATGAAACTCTAGAATAGGCGAACAAATAAATACATTTCAATATTGTATTTGTTTAAAATCACCATCGTACTGTTCCATATTTTCTAGTTCATGAATGTATTCACTGACAGATTTCTATTCATTACTGTTGACTTTAATTATGACTTACCCTACTAAGGGTCAGTCATAGTTGAAGTCTTACCAATCGGAATAGAAAAAATTCAAAATCCAAAACGAGACCTCCAGTTCTCTTGGACAGAAGAAAAAGAAGGGCCTGCAATTAATCAATAAAATGTCTATCTATCTATCTATACAAAGACAGTTGGATAAATGTTATGCAAACTCACCTTTTCATTTCCTTATATACAGTGTCTGTGACTGTAGGATGCAGGGCCCTAAACCCCTTTCACATTACGTTCAGTTAACTGTCAGTGCAATGCAGCAGTTTAAATACGATCAATTATTGTGACATTTTCTGGAACAATAGACCATACAACTGTGCAGAGATAGAATCCAGGCACTTGCTTTCCTGAATACCTCTGTTTAACTCACTGCTGCAGACTTTTGTTCCTCCTCTGCAGCTGGTCGGCATTGAAAAAATCTTCTCCCATATCTGGTCTCGTCACTGGGGACCGCCTTGCCCTGCCTCGAATTCTCTTTCAAAGCGCTTACACCGGCTGACTGGCAGGCCATCCATACGCGCTCGTCTGGCTTTGTAAGTGACTCCATTGTGCGGATGGGGCCTCGGGGGTACGCAGAAGCCCAGGTGAAACAAAGCCAGGGTCCCAGTATGCGAGGAGGCCTGGATCCGATCAAAGCTGCGCCTCACGACCCCGCGGCCTTTGTGAGCCAGACAGCGCGGGGTTCGGTTAACCTGTCTCCCGGGGACAAACGCACAGGTGAAAGTGGGCGGGGACGGGGGAGGGCAGGTGGGGGAGTGGAGGCTGGAGGGGGAGGGCAGGTGGTGGCGGGATTTGGGGTATAGCTGCGCATCGTCCTGACCTGTCAGAAGACCACCACAAAAGCCACAGTGCACCTCTCCCTTGATGGATCCGAGCCCACCGCCGTGCCCCAGGGAGCACTGCAAAAAATATAGACATAAAGAAGACTTGATTTGTTTTGAATAGTTTTGAATTGTTTATCTATATTTATTGTTTCATTTTCTTTGGTAGGGTAACAGGAATTATCATCAATCTCAAACGTATAATATTTTAGAATCTGAAACTACCAGAACTAGATGTCATTTTGACTGCTCCGATTCAAACCAATGCAATTCTGAAAAGTTTGCGAATTTATCATCAGTTTTACTTAAATCTACCTTCATTCAGTTTTAATAATAAGTATGGGTGAAAATAACTTGAGAAACGGAAGAAGAAAAACAGTTTGTTAAAATGCTAATGCTAACTGGTAGCAAGTTAACAGTATGTTACTATGGTTACTAGCGCTTGCTCTTGCTCTTCTCTACCCTATTTCAAAATTCAACAATTACATACAAATAATGACATAGAAACAACCTACATGAAGAAACAGAACATTTTGTAAAGTTTCATTTCATTTCATTTCATTTCAAAAATGAACCTAAGCAGGCTCTGGCTCAATAGACCTTCTCATAAGTCTTTATTCATCAAATTGGCTTCTTGTGAATATTTTATCTATTTGTCTTCTCTTATTTTCTATATTGCAAGACTTATTATAAGACTTATTATAAGATATTATATTATCCCCTGACTTAGGTCTGTATAATTCAATTCAATTTAATCAAAAGTAGTTATCCCGGGGGACTTTACACAACTGTTGAATTTGCCAACACAGATCAGAGAATCAAACAGTTCAAACACAAGAAATGATATAGAAGTAAGGAATGTTTATTTATATAGCGCGTTTTACAGACACCCAAAGCGCTTTACAATGTTCAGAGTTCAGATATTGTTCCAATCATTCCACACACGGTGATGACGGAAGCAAGTAGCCAAACACACTGGCACTTCAGCCCCAGTGTGCATACCTAGTGTGCATATTTTAGTAGTAGGAGAAACCGGAGCACCTGGAGGAAACCTACGCAGACACGGGGAGAACATGCAAACTCCACTCAGAAAGGCCCTGTTCCGACCGGGATTCGAACCCAGGACCTTCTTGCTGAGAAGCGAGAGTGCTATCCACTCAGCCACCATGCAGCCCAAAAGAAAACACAGTTGTTTTAGTCCAGAGGGGCAGATGACCAATGTCCATGAGCGTTGATAAATGTCATTGTGCAAAAACGTATTGATTTGATAAGTCACAAGAGCATATGCATCAAAGGCTTGTCTGTCGCTCTTTCTAGGAGTGTATACTGTGTATGTTGCTGACTAAGAATCATATACGTAAAGTAAAAGACCATGTTCTCTCATTGGGTGTGAAACCTAAGTTGTACTGCAGTGACTGTTTTGTTCATGTGTGGAACTTGGAAGTCAATCAGACTGAGGAGCTGTCATTGTAAGAGCATACAGTGTGCGTATATTTTTACAGTGTGGCGTTGTGCGAGGTGGGCCATCACCTGGGGATGCTAAATCCCAGCTATGCACGGCACAAAGGTGAACTTAGCAGATCTCTGTGGCTTTGTTCATGGTGGAAACCTAAATCTCCTCCTCCCATGAAAGGCTCAATGGGGGGGATTTGGACCTGAGAGTGTAGACTGTGAGACACACTGTGGAGGGTCGCGCTAATATGAACCGTCAAACGTGTCAAAAACTGCACGCTGGCTGCTCTTTGGATTCTCTCCTATTGTTTAGTTTGATTAATCAGGCTTATTTGGTAATGCAGTGTCACGGTTCCTTATTTTTGAGTTTAAGAATGTATTACCTGACATGTTTCTATACATTGCTGTCAGTCCTGAAGAGAAATCATAGTTGAAGTCGTTCCCAGGAGAATAGAAAGTCCAAAAAGAGACCTCAGTTTACATGGTGTATCTGTATGTATATATGTCTGTAGTAACCCTAGCTCAAGATTTAAAGTTCAGCCAATTTGTGATCGCAAATATTTTTTTTGCTGAACTCTGCAGTGATCCTCAAGAAAAATGTTGACAAAATATTTGTTTTACGTTAATCACAGCTTCTACTATGACAGATCAGAAAGGATTCCGCGTGTACGGGAGGCAGGTGGACGAGTTCTGGACTAAACCTCTGTGAAATGAAGCTAAGGAATATGATTTTACGATAGAACCAATGTGGCTATATATCTCCATGAGCTCCGGTATAAGCAGTGGCAGCTGTATTAACCCTTTAATGGGTTCCTCAACCATTTGGTAGATCACCTTTTGAGTCACTTTGAGCTTGAAACTGAAATCTACCTCTTTGGGGCATCTCACTTGCTTTTTTTTTTACCATCAAACTGCATCTCAAAAAGTTGGTGAAGGATTGGAAAATCCAAAACAGACAAAATTACATCACATTCTTTGAAGAGAGAACATTAAAAACCAACCCATAATTACCAAAACTTAAAAAATGTTTTCTTGTTCCCAAACAGTTCCATGCATCACGCCGTAATCGCCACTTTTTCATCACTGCAGTTTGTTTTGCGATCATTTGCGCGTTCTCTGCTCGTAAACAGCGGCTCTGCGATAACATTTGCCCTGGTTACTGATTAGTGCTGGGTGTTTGCACAGCTGCACGGGTCTCCACAACAAAATCCAGGCCTGTGACTCCCAGTGTACCTTTAGTCAAACACATCGGAGTCTCCCCATTGAAAATCTGCATTGCTCAACACTGGCTGAGCAAACACGGAAAGCCTTCAACACCTCTGCTGCAGACAATGGGGAGTTCTCAGTAATGTCAGTATTCATCTGTGCCTTTGTCGTGTGAGCACATTAGAGACGCTGAATATGGTTTATATCTGAATGGTTCATAACAGGCTTTTGTAAACACATGTAGGTTTTTGGGTGGAAGAAACATCACTTACTGGACTATTGTGTTGTCAGAACTGCTCCACAGTCTGAAATATTTCTTTAACTTGTGACTTTTATGACAACAAATATGTAAAGGAGCATTACATGGATATAGAATCATTTTATACCAAACTGGAAGGTTATTGATGCATCAGCCGGTTTCATTTCACGTGCGGACATTATGATCCTTTTGCTCCATGGGGGTGGGTACCTGTTTGCTGGATCCAATCACTCCTGTTTGGTCCTGACGTATGTAGGAAGCAGCACAGTGACCTCAAACGCTCCAACATTTCTTTCTGTTTTGACTTTAAATCCTAATATTTGTGGATCTTTTCAAATACAGAATTCATGACTTCATCCATCTCCATCTCCACTCCTTTATTTACAGCTTTGTTGAACTACGCTGATTGGCCGATTGTACTTCCAGGTTCAGACACTGTCTGTGTTTCTGCGATACGTAAGATGGTCTGGTGTCACACTGTCTCACACTGTCAGCTTCTTTCTCTGGGCTGTGACAGAGCCAAGTTTATTTTTATAGCACATATTGAACTGTTTTTAACAACGACTTGAACATAAACCTTGATGACTGAAGGATTCATAAAAAGCAGACATAGTGTATTATGCAATTTGTTATTTTTGTTCTATATTTAAGTAATTTCTAAGTAAATGACTGAAGGATTCATAAAAAGCAGACGTAGTGTATTATGCAATTTGTTATTTTTGTTCTATATTTAAGTCATTTCTAAGTAAATGCCGACACATGGGCCAGCATAGACAGTTGATGGGTGAAACAGACTATACAGAATTACTGACACAAAATGCAAAAATCTGTGGAAATTGAATCTTTTAGGAGTCACCACCTTTAATAAAGAACACTTTCATAAACCATTATTCCATCAAAAGCAGTTGTAGCTATACCCGCGCCACCCAACTCCAAGTTCAAATCCGAGGCATTACCGTGCACATGTGACCAGCTGGTTCAAGAAAGCCAGGCTTGTTTCTCCTAAAGCCGAGGTTTAAGCCGAGACATAAATCAAGTTAGCACCATGGCCCACTTTTGGAACAACAGGTGCACATTTCACAAGACAAACATACGAGCAGATTACCAGGACATCTCCGCCCCAGCACCGCAGCGTAGGTCACTGATCATAAAGGCAATAAGGTTAGAGTGCACGTGGGGTTTGATGGAATTCTCAATATCTTTTGAGTGGCCATAAGTCCCGCCAAGAGAATCCTTTACTGTTCAGACCCCGCTGAGAAAATACATTCTGAAGGAGGACCAGGAGAGAGGAGGACCATGTGTAAAAAGGTCCCAACAGAGGCTGAAAGTACAGGTCGGGTCCATCTTATATTTACTGGACAAAAAATGTGATAAGTACAAAGTTCAGTGACATACTTCTTATGTACTGCATGTGGACTCACTGGCATCTGAGCTTACACCAAAAAGTTTGTTGTTGTTTGTTCATGTCTTTGTATTGTCTAAGGACCATTTGTGTTGATATTAATAATTGGCCCTATATGAAAAAGTTCTGAAGGATTTGATGGTGGTCTGGATTTTTCAAGAAACATACCAGAGTGTTCCAGTCTGATCTCCATCTCGGCTCCTATAGCAAAGGTACATATGTCACTCCGTCACTAAATAAGAGAATGCAGTTTAGACACATTTTCATTCAAATTTACTATCTGAACACTTTATTAAAGGCATGTGGCTGTTAAGGTGACTACCATGGTATTCTGTATGTTTTCATGGCAAAAAAGTGAAAACATGTAAGTTGAACTAGATGCAAAGGTCTGTCCTGTCACCTAACATGTCTACTTTTTACTCCATTAATTACTGGGACAGTGAACCATGGCACATCTTTTTAATTGAAAACCGTGACCACAATTGACCACACCACTTGCTGAAACTGACAAAAAAGTTAAAGTCGGCCTTTATTAACAATATAAAGTCCTTCTCATCAAAGGGTTTTATGAAAAAAGAAAAAAAAAGAAAATGCAAAACGGTTTCCAATCGTCTCACGTCATTTTCTTTTTATATAACTCTGACCAATCAGGTGAGGATGAATCATTTCCAAAAGACGCACCAAACAACATCTCAGGGCACAATGTTTGAAAGACACTGTAATAGGACACAAATGCAGAAATAGTTCGGAGAATAAGAATTGCAATGTAATTTGACAGATCGTTCACATTGACACAATTGAATTCTACTCAATTACAAGTATTAAACTCGGATCACCCCCTGATTATAAAAATACAATTACCCCCAACAAACTGCCTGTGGGTACACCTGCAGCGGGACAAGGGGATGGGAGGTCTCCGTTTGGGAACAAAACGTCCCAAATTGTCCCGCTTTCATTAGAGCGCTGAGTGACGCCGCGCTCCCCGCCACGGATTCCCAAGACTCTCCGATAACAGGGCGCTTCCCAAACTGAGCCCGGACTGTTTTCTGTTCCCCCCCAATAAAACGCCACAGAAAGGGCCAGGTGACAGACAGCCAGGCACAGGGGCACACGGGACCCCCACGGACGTCCCTTATCTGCATCCAACTCAGGCCAGGGCTGAGGGTCTGCGGCCTTATCTCCCTCTGCCCCTCTCCACTGCAAACGGGTTGGCCTTTTTATATTTGTTACTTTAAACTTATCTGCTTGTTATTTTTTATTCGAAATATATTGAAAGTAGAAAAACATACAAGTACGGACATAATATGGAGGATAAAGGAATTACATTTAGCTGTTAAACTTCATCTTAGTGTGTTGTGATTAAAGTCACACAATTGTAGAGATCGTATACAGTTATAAAGCTATGTTCATGAAGTCTGAGTATCCGTCTTGCTTTACAAAGTTTGAGATAGAATGATTAAGACAGAAGGGCTAGGGGGATGTGTTTGTGCCAGCTTTACATAAATGGAACTATAAAGAACTCCAGGTCTAAATTCGGGCCATAAAGACATAAAATGATCATCAACAACAACAACATAAGTATCAAACACTCAGGTACCTCCTCCGATGGCTCCAGAGCTCATCGTTCCTGACGTTGCTCTGGCCTGATTTCTTCTTGAGTTCTCGGTCCTCTTCAGCAACATTTGTTTGTCTTTTAAGGCAGTGGTTCCCAAACTCTTTTCACCTGTGTATCCCCCGCACAGCTCAAAAGAAGGGAAGAAAAGTTTTACAAACTTATTTTGTTCAAGGCCACAGTTGTTTTGAAGCTTCACTATTTTAACAAGATCTCCCTCGTTTTCTTGTATCTGACTCTTACATTTTATTTGTTAATGTTATGTTAACAAATAAAATTACTGCGCTCTACCGCACTCTTAACGGCCTGTTGTGTGCACCTACTGTAGTGCACTTGTCTATAGTAAACTGAAGAAATGTATGTACATTTTTATTTATGTGTGCCTTTGATTTTATTCTGCTTTTGTGACTTCTTGTTACTCACAGGGATTCTGGTTCTGATGTAGGTGTAGGTGATTAACTTTATTTCTGAACAAAGAACTAAGAAATTGGACAGATCCAAAACGGAACCAAAAGCACTTATTATTGCTGACTGATTGACAAATGATTATTATTATTAGCACTATTACTATTGTTAATTGTGTCCCAGGTTCAATGTTTTGAATAAGTTCTACTTTATTGTCTCTGTGGGTTAATTTGTCCTCTGCATTTTACTCATTCTTTCATTGCCACTAAGGACTTCTGTCAGGAGCAGTGTACCGCCCTGGGATCCAACCAAGGACCTTCTTGTAGAGAAGCGAGAGTTCTAACCACTCAGCTACCCAGCATGTACATGTAATAAACGATATGTGTCATGGTGTGGATTTTATGTTCCCTGTGGTTTTACTCTAGTTTTACTTCTTGTCCTGTTCCCTTGTTGATGGTCTGGCCCATCCTTATGTGTTTCACCTGTGTCTATTTGTACCTGTGCTCATCCCCACTGGACCATTATTAAATAATAATTGTTTGCATTTCTTCATTTTTGGTCCTCTGTTATCTTACCCTGTGACAATATGATTGTTTTCTTGTCAGAACTAGCTTTTAATTCATGGCTAACATGCCACAGTAGCCCATATAAAACTCTTACTATCAATATAAGCAAGTTTTTAAAATGACTTGAAGTACCCCCAGTTGGGAAACATTGCTTCAAGGAAATGGATGTAATTCATTTGAGGGTTTTCTGTGGGAGGGTCTGCAGCCTTCCCACTATCTCCATCTACAATCTGAGCGATAAGAAACCCCCCGACGCCTCAATGTCCGGCCGAGACCCCCAAGCGTACCCCTTGCAAAAAGCATGCTAGTGAAAGACGTCGCAAGGTGGTCTTCTGGTGTTGAAAAGTGGAGAGAAAGCGGAAGCTTGCAGAGGTCGCCCAGCTCTGACCTACCACACAGTAACGCGCATGGCCAGACAAAAGCATTCCAAAGCAGACGGCAGCAGTCCTGTTGGTGACAGGATTTAGATAGACCCTATTAGACCATATTTAAAGCAGCTGCCTATTGTACGTATGGAATGACGTGTTTGGGGGAGGCCCGGCTTCCAGTTTGAGGACGCAAACACGGTGGATCTACAAGAGGTCAGAGATGTGGGCTTTCTGACCAGCTGTCGAACAGTTATTATTATTATTAAAGGCATTGAGCGCCTGTAACAGGAAAAGGGCAGGTGGATTTACTGTCAGAAGTTATCGATCTTATGGGAGACATATTATGCTAAATTGGCTTGTCAGTAAATCATTTTTTTAACAATTTTTTAAAGGTTGACCTTCATGGACGGTTACATGAATTGTCCACTTTGAATAAAGGGAGAATCTTATAGCTATGGGTTGATCTAACGTCATACTGTTAGATTAGAATAATAATAACATAATAGTAGCCATTAACTCAGTAGATTCATCATGATTGCCTCTGCATGTCTGTCTGCAGAATAAACTGTAAAGGTTGGGACAATGCTAACCCACTCATGAACCCTCATGGTGAAGAGCTCAGGGACAATTTTTTTCTCCTACTCGCTATTTTGGGCTAATAAAAAAAGGGTTTTTTCTCTGTACGATTGTAGTGTTTACATGTTGACAATATATTTTTTGCAAATCTATATATGCTCCTTAACAACTGATCTGGTGTCTTCTGGCCTGAAATCAGCTTTTGCTAGTGCCTATAGTGGAAGCAGGGACAGGCTAGGGCTGCCCCTGATTGGCTCTTTTAGTTGCTAGGTCGTTGCTACCCATGAATTTGGTTCCTGATTCCTGTCCATGGAGGCTGTTAGAGTTAGAACTAATCTACTTCTTCCGCAATAAGGCGAACACAGTGACTACAGTATTTGATTGGTCCACTCTCTCTACAGTCTACGGTCAGGAGCAGTGACCCGTGTTCAGATGTAGGCGCTGCTCGGCTTGGGCAAGAGTACTATTTTCTGGAGGATAAACCTATGACCTGTGTTTTGAGTTGACAAGAAAAACTGGAGCGCCCGGGAGAAACTCCTCCAAAGACAGAAAAACATGCAAACTAGAATAAGTACCGAAATAAGTACACCCTCTCAGTTATTGTGTCGGGTTTCAGATTCACATTTTTACTTGTTTTTCCATTTTGGATATTCTTTTTGAATAGTCTTTTACAAAAGCAACAGCCCTTGTCGTTTGAATGACTCTGAAAGCCACGGATAGTTGGAGGGAAGAACCAAAACAGGCCTAACTGAGAACACCTGTGTGGACCTGCCCCCGTCCCGGTCCTGTTGTTTGTCCCACACCTGTACACTGTCAATGGAACAGTGCGTGTGTGTGTATATGTGTGTGTTTATGTACGTGTGTGTGTGTGTGTGCTGTGCTTTCAATCCAAACACAACTCCAAACAGATCGAGTATCAGTCGCTTTATGACAGGTGGCCCTTTCCCCTAATTGGCACCAGCTTTTCTTGGGACATCAAAGCCACTTGTAATGCATTCAAAAGTTTATTGTGAAAGTGCACAGAGGGCCAAGCTGCTTCACGTTAGAAGATTCTATTTTGAAGCAGACATATTAGACAAAAACCGTCTTTTTTGAGCTTTTAACCGTTTTACAAGAGCTGCAAAAACAGACCTGGAGTTTCTCTGTTCAATCTTTGTTAGTTAGTTATACTTTAATGTCTCCATAGGGAAATATATCCTCTGCATTTGACCCATCCTTCATTGCCACCGGGGCCTCTGGTACAGCGCCCGGGGACCCATCTCTAGATGTTGATGCTCGGCTTGGTCAGGACTGCCGGAGCTGGAGGAGTTTGCCTGTGTAGTACATGTTTTTTAGTGGTAGGAGAAATCGGAGCATCTGGAGAATGCACAGACACGGGGAGAACATGCAAACTCCACTCAGAGACCTGTGCTACTACTAAATCTACTCTACTTTTGAGGAATGAGACACTAATTTGCACAAACACATCCTTCCCTCACTTTTGAATGCGCTGGAAACGGCAGCAAGTCCTAAGTAGCTCTGAGAGTTGTTGTTTTGTGCATTACAATTTTTATTTTCATTTCTTTTATCTACTTGAGATGTTGCTGCAGTACAGTGTTCATGGTTTTTGCACTGGACAGGACCAAAGCAGAGAGGATTCATGGTCCGAACCAAGCGGATCAGCCAAAAATCCACAGGAGTAACTTTTTGAAAAATGCTATTGAAGCATTTAGCATTTTACTTTGCCTAGAGCAGAGAAAAGGGTCCGAACCAAGCGGCTGCTCCACCTTGTGACCTGTCCTGCTCCACCCAGAGGCTACTCCACCTCTGCTGCTGTGACCTGAAGGGCTGTTGCTTATTATTACTATTGTTAGCTTTTTAGAACGATCAATTTATTTGTTTTGTTTGCGTGGATGGATGTGTTTTTGCTACTACTGGACACCTGGATCAATAAAGTATCTATCTTTTCCACAGATATTTTTCTCAGACCAATTCTTTAAAACTATAACATAACGGACAGCAGCCTTTCTGCCGATTAACACAAAAGTATTGCCTCCAAAGCAGCGAGCCCACCATGTCCATGTGTTTGTGTTGCTCCTCCACAGGCCGAAAGTCCGCGGAGCTGGCACTGCTTAAGCGGGGCCTTTGAAGTGGCTTTCATACCGCTGTAGCCCCCCCTGACATCCCCAGACTCTCCCCCTCCTCAGGAAATTGCATTCTGTCCACGTTCATGGCAGATAAATGAGGCAGAGAGGGACTGCACACTGTCACCACCGGCAACCTGCGATGTGTTAGCTGCCAGGGCACTGCCTTAGCCGGAGCTGGCACTGGGAGTAAAAGAGCAGAGTATGTTCGAACTATATCACATATTTTATTGTATGATATTTGGCCCTTAAAGCAGCGGCACCCCCCGACAGAACAAATCAAACCATAAAATGCTGTCTTCATCGTATTAGCAAACATAACTTTGTAAACATGTAAGAAAGCCACTATTTTACTCTTTGAGCAAATGGCTGCGTGAGGGTAGTCCGTTCCTTTTCACTTTTCTGTCTGAAAAACATGATCTAAATATGAAAAAGAGGCCAAAAAATACATGGACATGAAAATTAGTTTAGAGTTGATTTTAGAGCCAGGAAGCAGTTGGATGGTTTGTGTTATATAGTAAAAGAAATGTTTTACTCACGTTACAAGATTGTTCCCTCATCAAAGCCAGACCTGCGGTTGTTTACCTCCATTCACGCTAATATGAGGTTATTCTGGCCTCCCTTTTCTCTGAAACTTGTTACACGAGGATGCATCCTTACACCATTGCAATATGTTCAGAGCGGATATCGAACAAATGAATGTTTTCATTTTAGAACCAACGTACAAGCTTGCCTCAGTGTTAGCATCACAAAATGTTTGGTGTTGAAAAAAAGCCCATGAAAGTTATTCAACTAAGGATTGGTGTACAGTATGTCAGTATGAGTCTGGCTGATTGTGATTCCAGTACACTTCTGGATCTGGTACTGTATCCACGCAACCTACCCACAACTTTCCCTGAACCAGTATTCAGGAAGTAAAAAGTACCTGGTAATAGTTAAACAGGAGCCGGTGGAAATACTCCCAAGTAGATTAGAGTAGAGTAGAGTAGATCCGAGTTGGTCTGGTGGCAGCAGGTCTCACATTGCCAGTTGACATATAGAAATAAATGAACCATATTACAATTTTCAGAGTTTCACCTGCACTGCACCTGTCTTCTCAGAACTGCCATTTCAATTAGCGGCCGCCAGTTGAAACGTCAGACCCTTGAAGACGTCCGGTATTGTGCAATCCCTGGTCCACTGTAAGCATAACCAGAATCCAGTCCAGTCCGCAGCGTTCCCGGGTTGCGTGTCTCGGCCGGTTACATCATGCGGCCTTCCGTGCGGGGCTCGTCTTTGGACACTGTCTGGGAATGTGTGGCCCCAGCGGCCGTGGTGGGATCAGAGGGCCTGTTTTACATACGTGTCCATGAGCTCATACGTGGACCAGAGCAGGTGTGAGAGCCTCGTCATGGGGCTCTATAACCTCAGGCCAAAGCTATGTCTGCCAGGGTGACATGGAACAGGCTGGAAAAGATACGAGAAGAGACCTAGCGATTGATCCGTGGCGTCTCAAACAAAACCGATATTCCATCTGCGTTCTTACATCCTCCCCACGTCAAAAGTGCACTTGAAGTTGTTGTTCTAGCTCCATCCACAGTCACTAAAAGCAAACGTATTTACTTACAGCAGTGTTGAATCGGTCCCATGGCTGCAATACGAGGCCTAAATACTGTATGTCTTCAGTCATACTGGATTCATTTCTTATATTCACAAGTTCCAATTGTTTTACATTGAGTGGTTTTTAGTGACCAGTAGATGGCAGACACGGTTTTCCCCATCAGAATGCTGCTGCTGAACCCACTGAAAATTACCATTCAACTCAAAAAAGAATCGTATCAGCAAATGTGAAATAATCTGCCAATTCCACACAGTTTTTAGTGTAAAAATATGAACAAAACGATATTCACATAAGCAATTGCACTTTTAGATAATTTCTACTATTTATACTGATTTTTTTCACATAAAGTAAACAATATTTCAACAGTATAATAATAGAACAACATGAATAACAACAACTACAGCAAATTCACGTTACCTACATTGTGTACCATACTCAAAGCCAATTCGATCGATTCCTTTTACTGCAAAAATACATCAAATGAAATGTATGAATATATCAAAATTAAGAAACCCCTGGATATGCAAAATATAAAAAGATATACTGTATAAAGATATATCTCTCATATTCAAAGTAAAAAAAAAGAAGCATTTAATGAATCAGGACAGCTCACTAGTAGAAAACAGTCCAAACTTAAGAAGAGGTTTCATAGGGATTTTAGACGTGTCACGAGGTGAAAAGAGAAGGAAGAACTCAAATGCAGAACTGCCAAAAATACAAGATTTATTAACTCAAAAATTAAAAATCCAGGATATAACAGAAATCCAAAATCAAACCAGAAAGAAATTGGGACAAGAATATAATGAGCTGACAACAAGAGGAGAGAAGCACAGTGTTCAAATACAGACAAGTGAGACGCAGGAGGGCGGGGCAGCCAACAACGCAACAAACAGGAAGCAAAAAAGGAGACAAGGAGAACTAATGCATTAAAAATAATAAACTAAAAGTCCACACCATGACAGTTCCTCTTGGAGATGTCTGTTTTATTTACTGTTCAACCCCATCAGCTGGTCAGTCAACACACTCGATTAAAGCCAAACCCTAGACACCAGCTAAAGCCATGGATCTATTATAATAACTGGATAGGGTATTGCTACTGTAGTTTATAGCTGAAGAACCATGTGCTCGGGGGATTCTCGCGGTACTGCAGACTAAACAAGACGAAATTCACGTGGGCTACCCAGAAATTTTCCCCATAGAACTCAATGTAAATTAAAACAGCTCGACCGCAGCTGACAGAGAACCTACAGCTTTCATAGAGATCGGATTTTGTGGGGATTTTAGTGTCCCTTGTCATCCTGAACTTTTTTTCTTCCTAAATCCTTAGGTTTTCTTTAGATCGTCACTTAATTGAAACAAACTCTGCTCGTCTGGCTCTCGCTCTAACTCCCGCTCTGATAAACTTCTCTGATTGGTCAGAGCGCGGCCGAGCCCCTCTGTGCACGTGCAGGAGACCCACACACGCATATTTGGCGCAACGCATTATGGGAGATCATCCACTGCGCAGAACCGGGAGGACCAGACGATGCCCAAATACAGGCGAGTTCCGCTAATATGTCAGCGACCGTGCCGGCACAAAGCGCCACTGAGCACAACCACTCATTTGAATACGGCGCCATCTTGGATCGCCGGGGCTTGGCTAAAGCAGACTTCTGTTAGCTACAGTTGTTCCCACTTATAATTGGAGTAAATGAGACTACGAATCCAGCCATATGTACTGCAAATTGTACTGAAATTTACCGTTTCAGTAGCAATTTTTTAAGCGCCTTTCACTAACCAGGATCACAAAGCGCTTTACAATCAAAAACATACAGTAAAAATAGTACACATGCAATTCAGTTCCAAAAAACAAACAGAATAATCATAAACACACTCCAGATGGGCTTATGTACAGTGAGTGTGCCTGAACAAATAGGTGTTAAGTTGTGACCGAAAATCGTTCACTGACTCTAACATGGGCAGAGACTGTGGAAGCTCATTCCAAGGACAAGGAGAGATAAAAAAAAAAAATATGTGACGGATTATTGTCAAGGCACTAGCTCAGACATGGGCAAACTTTTCCTCCTGAGGGCAACATTGGAAATTAGGTCCGGATCCCGAGAGGCGTCTGATATTCCAATGTTTTCTCAGGCTTAATTTTAAAACAAAAATGTATTGTTTATATGAAAAAAATAGCTCTGAACACAGCGCAGAGGGGGATTCTATGGTGTTTAAACTGAAATGACCTCACTGTGGGACCAACAAAGGTTCTTAATCCTAATCTCTTGTGATCTTAATCTTAATCTATAGAAATTGAGGAGGGCTCAGGGGCCTGATAGAAGCATCCAAAGGGCCGCATCTGGCCCACGGGCCGGGGTTTACCCACCACTGCATTAGCTCATTTAATTTCCCCATTATTACCACATTTGTCACATGGGGTCCTGGCAACATTTCTCAGTCGTAGAATAACCTTCTGTCCTCTCGCCAGCACCACCGGCCGGTCCTCTCTGATGTTGACGTTGGGATTTGGTCGGAAGTGGGGGGGGGGCAGATACTCTCCCTCGTGCTGAGTGAGCAGAGCAAGGACACCTCCCCTCTCTGCCTCCCCCTACGCCTCGCCACCCTTTTTACCCCTCCGAGAACCAGGCCATTACCGCGGCAGCACCTCCAGCCCTGGCCCCGCTGACCCCGGAGCCCCCGAACACATAAGCCGCCTCGTGATTGACAAGCCGTGAAGATACTCTCTCCATTTAGCTCAAGTAGCAAAGGATCGCCACCTCTCAGACAGCGCTGCACCCCCCGCCGGACCCTTTGTGGGCAAGAAATAATGTTGTGGAACTCGCAAACTTAAAGGTGACGTGTTATACAATTGTTTTCCCTTTCATGTACCCAGTCTGAGAGCTGCTGTACATGACGGATTATTGCTTGTTTGAGGCATGACAAACCCATGGGTCAAATGCAACCCACAATATATATTTTTGTGAACGCTGATAGGATTTTCAATTCTATTCACATGCAGCATATTAATGAGGTTAATATGGCTACAATGCTGTGTTATACATACTGTTAAAGGTGTTTTTGACAAGAAAGCAGTTATTAATTTTATTCTAAACTCTTGATAAGACAAGATTAACTTTATTGATCTTACAATGGAGACATTTACATTGACATACTGTACACCATTTGTTATAGTTTGATTGGAAATAGATGATGGTCATTCTTTTCCAACTCAAACTCTCCACCTCTCCCACACTCATATGTAAGTAATTTAAACAAACAAACCCTTTAAACAAGTAATTTAAAGGTTTAGCTTATAGAAATGTATTTGTAGCAGATCCAAAAACTCACATTCCAATACAATAGTGCACAGAAAGGTTTTCTTAAATAGCTGATTGGAGAGCAGTCTGATCAGATTTCTGTATTTTTATATTGTATCCTTCTATCCTTGATATTATTTGTGTGTTTTTTATGGATTCCCTTCTGGTGCTGGTTCTCTTTCTGCTAATTGCGTTCCTCATGGTTGAATAAAGTTATTGGAATTGAATTGAATTACCTCAGTAAAAATAGTTTTCGGCGTTCAACTTCTGTCGAAAAGCTCCTGCCTCAGTCCGGGACTATGATGTCATTGTATCACTATGACATCACGTTTGTCATTTTGGCAATTTCTCAAGTGAAAATACATTCTTTATAATTGTTTTGACCGTGTTTGCAGCTGGTGATGTTCAAATTTGGTGGGGAAAAATTCACCTCTTCCCCGTTTACCCTTCATACTTGTTTCACGAAATATTTTCCACTGAAGATTTATTACGTCACAATCTAAAACATGAAATGACAAAATAAATAGCGTAATATTGAATGGCCAAAAATAACATGTAATATTTCTAACCAAAAAATACCACCAGAAAAAACCTGGATATGTCTCCTTTAACCTGTGACACCCCCCACTCTGTCTTGTGCCACGTCCCGGGAGAAAACACACTTGAGCCAGAGTGTTTGGGAGCAGGATGTGTCCCGGGGAGAGAGGGTTTGGTCCGGGGTCAGTGCAGCGCTGGAGAGGGCCTTTCACAGGGGGGTTGTGGATGGGGGCCAAGTGAGGAGGTGCTGGAGGTGGTATGGAAACAGGGCACTCGGAGCGGGATGTTTAAACAGAAACGGTGTGCTTGTTTTGAGGATATGTGCTCTCTGAAGGGTACTAAAAACCTGACTAAAACACATCTGGGGTCAAGCAGGACAGGGAGAAAAGTACAGAGTGTGTTGAAATATGAGGTGGGACAAATGAGCGAAATTCAAAATCGATCACATGGTTTAGATTTTTAAACAAGGGTTATCATGTAAAGCTGACTTCTAAAAAAAGACTTTATAATAGTAATCAATATAAGTTTATTTGTATCGCACAGTTCATTCACAAGGCACCTCAAAGTGCTTAATAAAATGAGATTGGAAGCCAAATCACAAGCAAGGCATTGAAATCATTGGTTCCTATGACACAACAAAAAAGGAGGAGGCTTAGCTGCCATTTTCAGAGACCACTTTGTTTCCCATAGAATGTCTCTTGGGAAGTTTCCGTTTTTTGAATATGTGTCTTTTAAAATACAACAAAAACAATCTCCTCCAATACTCTTCATAGTCCTATACAAGCCACCGCAGTCATGTCAAAGTTTTATTGATAATTTTACCGAGTTGCTTTCTGTTGTATGCACAGATTTTGATAGTTTAGTTATTACAGGTGATTTTAATATTCATGTGGATAATGTTGATGACAGAAATGCAAAAGAGCTGAGTTCTTTACTTGATACCTTTGGTCTCACTCAGCATGTGAGTGGCCCCACCCACAGCAGAGGGCACACTCTAGACCTGTTAGTTACAAAGGGGGTGAATATTTCAAATATAAGCGTGGTCGATGTTGCTCTTTCGGATCATTTCTGTGTATTTTTTGACATGTGTTTCACTAACAAACCACCAGTGGACTCTGCAACTGTTCGAAGAAGACACATAAATGAAAATACGAGTGATCTATTTATGGGAATGATAAACTTTGAGAATGCATCGTATTCTACTGTAGATGAACTGTTTAACTCTGTCACCTCTAGTGTTTTGAATGTTCTGGATACCGTTGCCCCTGTGAAGGTTAAAATAGTGAAAAATAAGCAGAAGGCGCCGTGGGCTAAAGCAGACTCGGTCAGGGCACAAAAGAGAAAGTGCCGGAGGGCCGAGCGGAAGTGGCGCGAGTCCAACCTCCAGGTTGATTACAAGATCTTCAAAGATAAGTTGTGCGAGTTTAACCGGGTGCTACGTAGTACGAGAGAAAGGTATTTTTCTGAAATGATTGAAGGCTGCAGTAACAATCTGCGTGTTCTGTTTTCAACAGTTAATAGATTAACAAACCCCCCTGTTCAGATGCCATTAGAGCTAACTTCCAAACGTAAATGCAATGAGTTTGCACACTTTTTCAATGACAAGGTTCAAGGCATCAAAAACGCCATTGTCTCCAATCCACAGATAACCATCCAACAGCCAGAAAGGCTCTCTGAGCTAACTTACTTTGCACCTGTAGATGATAAAAATGTCCAAGAGATAATCTCCAGTTTGAGCTCCTCCACATGCAGCCTGGATGTACTACCCACTAGATTTCTGAAGTCTGTTCTGAGCAGTCTGTTACCTTCACTCACACAGATAGTAAACATGTCCCTTCATTCTGGAATATTCCCAAAGGCCCTGAAAACTGCAGTCATCAGGCCCCTGCTAAAAAAGAGCAGCCTGGATGCTACGGTACTTAACAACTATCGTCCCATCTCAAATCTGCCATTTATGGGGAAAGTCCTTGAAAAAGTTGTCTACCTACAGCTTACTAGATTTCTTATAATCAACAACTCATTTGATATGTTTCAGTCCGGCTTTAGACCCCACCACAGCACTGAGACTGCTCTTGTCAAGGTTACAAACGATATCCGGCTGAACACTGACGCAGGCAAAGTCTCAATCTTAATCTTGTTAGATCTGAGTGCTGCCTTTGACACCGTCGACCATGAGATCCTCTTACAGAGATTAGAGGACTGGGTTGGAGTCGCTGGCACCGCCCTAAGTTGGTTTAGGTCTTACCTTGAAGACAGGAAGTACTTTGTGGAGATTGGAGACTGTGTCTCAGATCATATGGCCCTGACCTGTGGAGTACCACAGGGGTCGATCCTGGGACCTCTTCTGTTCAATCTCTACATGCTGCCGTTAGGTCAGTTAATACGCAGAAACAAAGTGTCCTATCACAACTATGCAGACGACACTCAGATCTATGTCTCACTGACTGCAGGAGAACATGGACCAGTGGACTCACTCCTTCACTGTATCCAACAGATCAGTGAGTGGATGCAAAACAACTTCCTTCAGCTAAACGCAGACAAAACTGAAATGATTGTCTTTGGTCCCCAGAAACAAAGAGAGAGCGTCATCTGTCACCTACAGTCTCTCTCCCTAAAACCTTCAAACAAGGTCAGAAATCTAGGGGTAATACTGGACTCAGACTTAAATTTTAATAGCCACATCAAATCAGTAACATCAACAGCTTTTTACCATCTAAAAAACATTGCCAGGATCAAAAACATAGTGTCTAAAGCAGACTTGGAGATTCTTATCCATGCATTTGTCTCCAGTAGGTTAGACTACTGCAATGGCCTGCTCACAGGTCTGTCCAAACAGGCTGTAAAACAGCTGCAGTACATTCAAAATGCAGCAGCTCGAGTCCTGACAAGAACCAGGAAGTACGACCACATTAGTCCAGTCCTCAGGTCTCTGCACTGGCTTCCTGTGGCTCAGAGAATAGACTTTAAAACAGCTCTGCTTGTGTACAAGTCTCTCCATGGCCTCGCACCAAAATATATTAGTGACATGTTAGTCCCATATGAACCAGCCCGGACTCTGAGGAGCACAGGGACTGGACTCCTGTTAGTGCCCAGAGTCAGAACTAAACATGGGGAGGCTGCTTTTCAGATTCATGCTGCTAAAATCTGGAACAGTCTTCCTGAAGATGTGAGACAGGCCTCCTCTCTGACAATGTTTAAGACAAGGTTGAAAACAGTTCTGTTTAGCTGTGCATACAACTGAGGGATTTTATATTTTTATCTTTTTTTAATGTACTGTGATTATTTATGATTTTAATGCTTTCTTGTTCTGTTCAGCACTTTGAATTGCCTTGTGTATGAATTGTGCTATATAAATAAACTTGCCTTGCCTTGCCTTGCCTTACTAACATGTCACTGATGTACTTTGGTACAAGGCCATGGAGAGACTTGTAACAAGCAGAGCTGTTTTAAAGTCTATTCTCTGAGCCAAAGGAAGCCAGTGCAGAGACCTGAGAACTGAACTAATGTGATCATACTTCCTGGTTTGAGTCAGAACTCGAGCTGCAGCGTTAAACAGCTGGTTTGGAGAGCCCAGTGAGTAGGTCGTTCCAGTAGTTTAAACTACTGACAAATGTCTGCTTTAGACACTGTATTTTTTATTTTGCCATGTTTTCCTGATGGTGAAAAGCTGCTGATGTTAGAATGCACAATAGGAATGTACAACAGAGCAGGTTTCTATCCCTATCTCCAATTAACTATTGCAAGATCGCACAGATGCTCCTGACAGAGGCCCTTGTGGCATGGCAGGGTGGGTCAAATGCAGAGGACAATTATCCATACAGGGACAATAAAGTACAACTTAATTTAACTTAGAGGTCAAAATCAGTTCAATATATACACAAATTTGAAGTCACGCACATTTTTAGTTCATTTCAAATTGTGACTGCACTATAGAGTTTGGTAAAGCTAGGAACTGGTTTAATGATGGAAAAAATTGCATTTCTTCTTTTTGTCATGGAAAAACAGGAACACAAGCCCTATCCGTGTGTTACATCGTCCAAGCTGTCATAAGCCCTCTTAAATACCATGTGCAAGATCAGTCAAAGTGCAAACTAATGGTCCCAGGCATAAATGGATGCATCTTTTGTTCAGGCGGAAGCTGCAGGGTGCTAGGGTTAGTCCGACGGAGGGGGGCAGCGAGGGGGGCTTATCCCTGAGAGGAAACATTAGCAAAGCGCTGAGGAAAAGCTGCCAAATTAACTTCTCACCCTCTCAATCACACCCAAGAGACTTCCACCAGGCCTGCGTTAGTCCTGCGTGTACGGGATTGGCTTCTGGTCCATTAGAGGAAAAGAAATCCCCCCCTCAAAAAAAAAAAAAGCCCATATAGTAGCCACAACTGTACTCGCGTGGCCAAGGCAAACAGGTCTGAGGCTGCGGTGCTTCCCGTTCGCTTTCCGGGGAAGGCCTTTGAACGCGCGCTTCCGAAAACAGCGCGCTTGTAACGGAGATCCAGTGTGGACACGCGAGGCGGGTCGCACGCTGCTGGGAGCCCAGAGAGAAGCAAAGACTGTTTCTTTAGTCCAAACGAGCTGAAAATAGAAAGAGTTGGAAAGAGGATACGGTGGACTTGCGGTGCCTAACTTTTTTCTCGTTTCATAAATGACAAGTGTTGTTTGGCCAACAGAAAGAGTCTTGAGAAAGTACAAATGTTGGGAATAAGGATGACCACAACTTCTTTAAAAACATGTCATTTTTTGCATAATTGTGAGAAAGACGCTTTGGACTGAGAGCTGATTGGCTGAGTGAACTGGACAAATCTTTCTGTCTTGATAAGATAAGATAGACTTTTTTCATCTCACAATGGACAAATGTACCTGTCGCATTTGGCATTTAATATTGAATAGAAACAATATCAATGATTTTCACAAGTAAAAATTGAAAAGTAGATTCTGACTGCACCTTTAAAAACAAACATCATCACAACTAAGTGTTGATATAGCAGCAATTGGTCAAAATGTCTGGCAAGTGTCACAGATTAAATGTATTTCTGCACAACCAGGCCCTGTGCTGAAATGTTTGAATGAATATAGAATGTTTAGAATAGTTCCTCATCATAACCACCATTGGTAAGATTTTCTGGAGGAGAATAGATAAACCAACGGGGAAAGAGCTCACTCATCCTATTCATTTCATCCAGTCAGGAAGCACGGGGTGAGGGGGGTGTTCTCTCTCTACAAAATGTGAAAAGTAACTAATGCATAAAGTATATTCAGAACAAAAATATCCACAATTTAGGTAAACACATGACTACCGGTTATGCATGAAATATACTGCAGTGTTTTTCAACCAGTGTGCCGTGGCCCGATGGTGTGCATTGGAAATAGTCCAATATCACCTGCTTAGTCAAAATCAGGTGAAAAGAATATAATGTGAGATGATTAGACAGATAGTTTTTTTGCTTGTTTTATTTGCTATTTAATACACATTGATGGAAAGGACTCTGCTTTGTTATTAAAGGCTGAGTTTCAATGTTGTATCACATTCAGTTGGTGGTGTGCCATGTGAGTTTTAGCAATTAAAAAGGTGTGCCATGGCTCAAAAAGGTAGGGAAACACTGATGTGCTGAGCTTTAACATTATTTTCAGATTCAGATGAATTTATTTGCCATTTGCACTAAAACCACATTGGAATACATCTGCAAAAGTCCCCAGCGTGCACAAGACAAGTACATAAATGAAAAAAGGTTATTTGTGAGTTATGAGAATATCACTATAATTGTATGGATTGTTGAGTTTGGGAAAGCTGGGATAAGAATCTTGAGAACCTTGTAATTATTGTGAATACTTTTGAATGTGATAAACAATAATGCCCTACGTTATAGCCCTAATACCGATCGAAGTGGAAATGGGGAACAACAAAGTAAAGGCTCCTTGAATTCAGGATAACGACAAAAGACAACGACGACTTATTCTGCGATAAAACCATTATAACATGGCTCAAAGCTCTTATAGTAAATCTGAGTTACTTTTAAAATTGTGAAGGGAGAGTAAAACATTTTCGCAGATAATAAAGGTCACAAGCACTAGTCAGACCCGCTCATACCTTCCCCCACAGCTTCCTGATTGGTCAAAATTAATTCAAATCCTTGAGGCCCCACGTCATTGGTCTAAATATTCTCCTCCAGCAAATCTTCCAAGTCGTAGTTACCCCAAGGAGAAGAACCATTTTTGATATTTTATTATTGAAAAATACAATACATACTTACAGTGTCCCATGGAAATGTACATCCTTTTGAAAATGTGATTTCCGATATCATCTTTAACGGTGGATTGGACCAGTACCTATTTGTTCTTTTTTCTTTGTGTTTGAACTGTTTTGATTCTCTGATCTGTGTTGGCAAATTCAAAGGTTTCGTTTAGGGCTATATAAAAGAATTGGTTACAGTATAATTAGATTTTTTGGAAAAAGGGACAACGATCCCCATGTCCAACTCACTCATCACGTCACTGACTGGTGGATGTTCAGGGCTCTATCCCAAATGTGCAGTGGAGCTGGGATCACATGGTTTCAGGAGGCCTTAATGTGGCTTCAAGGCTCCTCAGAACAGATGGGCGTTCATGACTGCTGCTTTTGTAAAAATACTATTCTCCCCGCAGACCCTCCTCCTTCGCCTGGCATTCCAACACGACCATGGTTCCAATCAGGACCCAACGCAAACTCAAGGACTGACAAAAAACGGGCTAAAGAGAGAACAGGGCCCAAAGCTGCTTTATGAGGGTAAGAATCGACGAAGAAAGGTGTAAAGTGATGGAGAAGCATTTTAAGTTATGGTATTGTTGTATGAGAATCGATAAATAAGGGCAGGTTTATTCAATTTGAGGCCCGGGGTCCAACTCAGGCCCCCAAAGCAATCTACTCTGGCCCTCAGCCCGTGTTAAAAATCATTGGTAGTTGTTCAGTCAAGTCAGTGATAATTTCACCGTCCACGGGTCATCATAAGTGCTTGTCCTGGTTTTGCATTTATTTTCTTCTAAATTTAGCACATGTTGATATAAAATTTAACTTGAATTAGGTGCCGTTCTAAAACTTTGATGTGTTGTGCTAATATCTAGTCCAGACAACGAAAACGTATAAACACGATGTGAGTGTGTGTCTATTGTATGGTTTTAATAATAATAAGATACTAAAGAGGAAAAGGGGGAAAGGAATACGCACTAATCATGTTTAGAACAGAAGAAAACAAAAAAATAGAACTTTTGCATATTTTGAAGTAGGGCTGGGCGATATGGCTGAAAACTACTGTATATCACAATATAAGTAATTCATATTGGTCAATATCAATATATATGTTTTTTTTCCCTAAATGAATACATTTGTCATGTCGGCTAACACACGTTAGCAGCCCTTGTTTATAGTCACGGGGGAATGAGAACTGAGGCTGGAGGCATGTGTTCACAAGCAAAGTGTCCCCCATTGTTAGTACTGGTTTAGTCCTGGTATAGCTCCTGTGATGGCGATTTTTGAGTGTCTTGTGTCCCCGTGACGGCTCCATGCGGCTCTCTGGTGCTTCCAGAGGAAAAAATTAATCTCTTGCTTTTGCCGCATACATCAAGTTTCTGTACCCACTGCCTCTATCACGCTGCACATGCTATTCCTCTCACGGACGTTCATAACTATTGACACGTTCATAACTATTTCTTCTTAAATCCTTTGGTTTTCTTTAAATTCACACTATAGTGCCACAAACTCTGCTTGTTTGGCTCCCGCTCTAACGTCCGCTCTAGCTCCGACCTAGCTCCGCCCTAATGAGCAGCGCTTATTGGTCAGAGCGCGGCCGAGCCCCTCTGTGCACGTGCATGAGAGCCACACACGCGTATTTGGCGCAACGCATTATGGGAGCTCATCCACTGTGCAGAACCGGGAGCACCAGACGATGCCCAAACAGGTCCCATGGATCTGGCAACTTCCGCTAATCTTTCGACGCCCATGCCGGCACAATGCGCCACTGAGCACAAACCATTCATTTGAATATGGCGCCATCTTGGATCGCCGGGGCTTGGTTTTTTCTTACGGATTGAAGTAAAACTATCAAACATTTTATTGACCCCATTTTCTACTGATATCGGACATGTGTCTATCGTAATATCGTTATCGTTTTATCGCCCAGCCCTATTTTGAAGGGATTGTCAGTATTTCACCATAAGCATCACAACAAAGTGCTGACATAGAAGCAGATCAGGGTGGAAAGCTGCAGATCAACTACTTAATTTGTTGTTCCACACGTGCCAAACTGTCTGTATAACACTATCAAAAAACAAGTGAAAGAAATAGTTAAATAAAAGTAGCAAAGCAAAATCTTTGTATGCAGAACAGAAGATTACAAAAAAAAATTAAAACGATTATAAAAAGTAAATTTTGGGCAGTCATTCCTCTTTAAACTTCAAAATAGTCCATATAACATATAGCATGCTAGCTTGTAAACAACTCCATCCACCACCTTCCCCTGTGCGACCGTCTGCGCTCCCAAATGAACGATTATCCTCATTCAACAAGACAAATGTAACTTTTCCAAATCTGTTTAGGCACATTTAATAGTGTCAATTATGGCGGGGGGCCTGCTTCGGGGACTCGGGGGGGGGGGGGGGCCTTAATAACATTGAGCCAGCAATGAGGACCAGATGCTGACCTGCTGGCTGGCTTTGAAAACAGACATCTGAGTAGTCCTGCTTGTAATTTATGGGCCCGGCCTTCGCATCTGGAATTCTTTATAATTAAAACATAAACCGCGGTGTTGTACTTCCACCTGTCAAATGCACGGGGAGATGGACACTGTAATGGCCGGCTGCGGGCCGGACAAACAAGGAGAAAATGGTAGTGCGTGTTTGAGGGAAGAGGTGGCGGTTTGGGGAGGAGAAAGAGCAGAAGAGGCTGGTTAGCTTTGAAAGGTAATTCCATACACAAGGCATGAAATTACGCGCTCAAATTGTTTGAGATAAGTGTGAGTGTTTCGCACATATTTTTTGTTTTTGAAGGTTTTGCGAAAAATTCAGATAGAGATCAGTGAATTAAGTAAGTAAGTAATCTTTATTTATTTACCGCCTTTCACAGACCAGAGTCACAAAGCGGTTTACAATTGCTAAAGAATGCACGTTTGCTTCATAGACAGAAGTTCCATGGTTTCATTCCACCTTCAGGACTTTTTATGTGTAGTTTGCAGGTTCTTCCCGTGCCTGCGTAGGTTTCCTCCAGGTGTTCCGGTTTCCCTACCACTTACAACATGCACAATAGGGCTGAATATAATGTGTGAGTGGTTGATGATAGTTCACCAGTGTGTTCGGCGTCTCGCTTCTGTCATCTCTGTGTGTGGAGTGAATGGAAATTAGTACAACAACAATTGTAAAGCGGTTTGTGTGACCTTGGTCTGTGAGATGCGCCATATAAATAAAGATTACTTACTTAATTAAGTTTAAAGGGAACTGTAACAAGGAAAGCGTTATGGCTCCACCACAATTATATGTATTTTATATAAGGCAGTATTTTATTAAAGTATAAACTTTTTTCCCACCGTGTACCTGTCTTCGACCCGGGACAACAGTGGGAAAGGTTGGCGTGTTGCTTGGACCAGTGACAGCCTTTCGCCACAGGGAAGACGGGAAGGATGAAATAAAAGGATCAAAACAAATTCCCAGAGCGCACATAACCTACAAAACCACAGACCATTAGACGATTACCCCTCTGTTTGCGAGGTAATAAACATGTTTATGGGATGAAGAAAGTAGTGGAAGACCTCCATCTAGTGGTACAAGGTGGAAATTCCATTTAGCTATTTTTGTAAACATGGTGGGGTCTAACATAATTTGTAAAAGTAAAAAGGCAGAAAAAACCTTCTGTCTACAAAACAGAAAATGTAGATAGAAGCCCTCCCTTACCCTGTCAGTGTTTGTAAGCAGCAAGTGGAATATGGTATATACTTGTTATTGATAGTTAGGGGTGATTGGTGTCCCATCAGAATCAAGCTTCAAACCCTGAGCCCATTCTTCCATGTTGACTCCACTCACCGTGTGTATGTGTGTGTGTGTGTGTGTGTGTGCGTGTGTGTGTGTGTGTCCCACATGTGGCAGGCAGCGTGGACAGCTCTCCATTCGTTTCCTCAGCTATTACCAGATTAGTGTCATCATTAGCCATCAGCGCTAACAGTGCAGTAAGCGCTGCTGCTGTCGCCAGTAACAAGGCTTTGAGAGCTTTTGAACAAGAACACTGATTTAATCGACAGATATTGACATGACAAACCTACTCATTCATTTCCAATGCCATACTTCTCTTTCTCTTTTCTTAACACATATTTTAAAAATGCCCAAAATTGTGCTGCAGCACATCTCTAAGGAAGACAGTAGATTGGACAGGGGGTTATATTTACAACAACTTTATCTCTAAACATCGCTCTTTTTGACTGTCCTAGTAGCAGTATACACCACATTGACTCATTATATGAGCGTTTGACACGTTGCTGGTATACATTTTCAGGATCATTCCAATAAAACCTCTTCTTGGACGTAACCTGTGATCTACTGTATGTTTATGTCCAGAGAACACGCCCAGGCCTCACAGAAAAAAGGTGTGCTCGATTCTCCCAATATCTGGGTAGGTTTCCTCCAAATAGTGCAGGAGTATAAATGTGTGTGCTTTATACTTTTCATGTGTTTTAACTGTTGATTCTCTGACCTGTGTTGGTGATTTCAATGGTTTTGTGAAGTCCTCTGAGATGACTTCTGTTGTGACCTAGGGCTATACAAGAATACATTGTATTGTATTGTATAAATGTAGTCACTGAGTCAATGATGGATGGTCCAACGGCACAGACTGGCTGCCTCACTTCCATCAGTGTGCCACAGGGCAGCTGTGGCTGGACTTTCATGTATTTAAAATTATCAAACATTTAAGTATTTCAGTTGTACTGCTAAACAGAAGTGTTTTTATCTTGGATTTGAACATTGTCAGAGTAGATGCTTGTCTCACATGTTCATATCCTTTAAAGTCATCTCTTGGAAATATTTAGTTTCTGTGTCTTTGGCAACAACTCAAGGCCATATGGAAGCGCCTGAGTTCAGAGCGAGTGCTACACCAACCACTGCCACATCCTTTCGTACCCCCTGCATGAGACATGCACTTCCCAGACGTAACACGCTCCCGTTTCGGTCACAGATTTTCCACCGCGGTAAAGCAGTGCCCTTAGCCGGGACACGGTCAAGTGCGAGCCAGCTCCAACCGGACGGAACCACATGGAAAAAGCCGAGAGGATGTGTGCACTGTCCCTGGGGAGCCAGCGCACAGTATGGGACAGGATCAGAGACAGGGACAGGGAGGACGGCTTGTTTACGGAAACCTGGACTTTTCAAAGGAATTTGTGTAAACAGTGAGTCACCGAAGCTGGAAGGTGGCTTTTACTGCGCGGGCATATGGAGCGGTTTCCACAATTAGAATGCACCTGTCCACAAGTCTCGTTAGGAATGTTATTCATGTCACGTTAAATCTGTTTTTTTTTTCATATTATACCTTCCTACAGAATCAGAATCAGAATCATTTTTATTGCCACGTAAGTAACAGGAGGTCACAGACTAGGAAATTGCTTTGGCTCAGTGCAACAGTCAAAAAGAGATAATAAAAATAAGAATAAAAAACACTTCTAAAGAATAAATTTAAATGTAAAATAGAGTTACAGTTACTATTTACAATATACAAGTGCACATGGTGCACACAATGTAAGGTGACAGCAGTACAGTGAAGTAGAGTGACGTATGATGGGCAGTAAAGTGACTTTATAAAGGGCGGGGGGACAGGTTAAGAAGTGTTCAAGAGTCCAACAGCAGAGGGGAAGAAACTGTTCTTGTGGCGGGAGGTTCTAGTCCTGATGGACCGCAGCCTCCTGCCTGAGGGGAGTGGTTGGAATAGTCCATGTGCAGGGTGAGAGGGGTCGGCTGTGATACGACCAGCCCGGCCTCGAGCTCGGGCGACGTACAGGTCCTGCAGCGATGGAAGGCTGCGGCCGATCACTTCCTCTGCAGAGCGCACAATGCGCTGTAGTCTCTGTTTGTCCCTGACTGTGGCTCCAGCGAACCACACGGTGATGGAGGAGGTGAGGATGGACTCGATGATGGCCGTGTAGAACTGCACCAACATCTGTGCAGGCAGCTTGGCTTTCCTGAGCTGCCGCAGGAAGTACATCCTCTGCTGGGCCTTCTTGATGAGGGAGCTGATGGCCGGCTCCCACTTGAGGTCCTGGGTGATGGTGGTGCCCAGGAAACGGAAGGACTCCACAGAGGTGATGGGGGAGTCCATCACGGAGGGTGGGGGTGGGGGGACAGTGCTCTTCCTGAAGTCCACAATCATCTCCACTGTCTTCTGGGCGTTCAGCTCCAGGTTGTTACCACTGCACCAGGACACCAGCCGGTCCACCTCCCTCCTGTAGGCGGACTCATCGTTGTTGGAGATGAGTCCAATGAGGGTGGTGTCGTCCGCGAACTTGATCAGCTTCACGGAGTCGTGGCTGGAGGTGCAGTGGTTGGTGTACAGGGAGAAGAGCAGGGGAGAAAGAACACAGCCCTGTGGGGCTCCTGTATTTATAATCCGAGAGTCCGAGACATTCTTCCCCAGACGCACTCGCTGCTTCCTGTCCGTCAGGAAGTCAGTGATCCACCTGCAGGTGGAATCGGGCACGTTGAGCTGGGAGAGCTTGTCCTGGAGCAGGGATGGCAGGATTGTGTTGAAGGCAGAGCTGAAGTCCACGAACAGGACCCTGGCGTAGGTCCCCGGGGAGTCCAGGTGCTGTAGGATGTGGTGGAGGGGCAGGTTAATGGCGTCGTCTACAGATCTGTTGGCTCTGTAGGCGAACTGCAGGGGGTCCAGGAGGGGGGAGGTGAGGGACTTGAGATGGGAGAGAACCAGGCGTTCAAATGACTTCATGACGACAGACGTAAGTGCTACAGGTCTGTAGTCATTGAGTCCTGTGATCCTGGGCTTCTTCGGGACGGGGACAATGATGGAGGATTTGAAGCAGGCCGGGACATGGCAGGACTGCAGAGAGGTGTTGAAAATGTCCGTGAAACACAGGAGTAAGCTCACTGGCGCAGTGTCTCAGAGTGGCCGGAGACACGTGGTCCGGGCCAGGAGCTTTGCGGGGGTGCAGCCTCAAGAAGAGTTGTTTAATCTCTTTAGCGGCTATTGTTAGGCTGGGGGCAGGGCTGATGGGTGGGTCGTTAGAGTAGTGGGGGGTGGGGGAGGGAGAGGTGTCAGGGGCAGCATCAAAGCGACTGAAAAATAAGTTCAGATCGTCAGCTAGCTTGTGGTCGTCAGCACAGGGGGGGGCTTTGGGTTTGTAGTTGGTGATCTCCCGTAGGCCCCTCCAGACAGAAGCAGTATCGTTGTTACCAAACTGCTCCTGTAGTCGTTCTCTGTGCCGGGACTTGGCTGCTTTCAGTTCTCTCCTGAACTGATATTTAGCTGCTTTGTAGCCGCTGCGGTCCCCCTCCCTGAAAGCAGACTCCTTTGCTTTCCTGAGCTGCCGGAGTTTAGCAGTGAACCAGGGTTTGTCGTTGTTATAGATGACCCTGGTCCTTGTTGGAATGATGCTATCCTCACAGAAGTGAATGTATGACGTCACAGTGTCCGTATATTCATCCAAACTATCTGTGGCAGCTCTGAAAAGGTCCCAGTCTGTAGATTCCATGCATGCGCGCAGCTCCTCCACAGCTTCATCAGACCACACTTTGGAGCTCCTCATTGCAGGTTTCGAGAGCTTTAGTCTCTGTCTGTAAGCAGGAACCAGATGTATCATGGAGTGATCTGAGAAGCCGAGGGCTGGCTTGGGAACAGCGCGAAAAGCTCCGCGCACGGTGGTGTAACAGTGATCCAGAGTGTTCTCCTCTCTGGTCGGGCATTTGATAAACTGTCTGTATTTGGGTAATTCCTGGCTCAAGTTTCCCTTATTAAAATCCCCCAGGATAATAATCAGAGAGTCCGGGTATAAGCGTTCCATACACAGTACTTGCTCTGCGTCCGCGCATGGCGGTATGTAAACAGAGGCAAGAATGAATGAAACAATTTCGCGCGGGGAGTAATATGTTTTACAATGAATGAAAAGATATTCCAGAGCAGGAGAGCAGTGCTTGGAGATCACTGTCACATCGTTACACCAGTTTGTATTGACGTAGAAACACAGCCCACCGCCTCTGCTCTTCCCTGAGAACGCACAATGGCGATCCGCGCGGAACAGCCCAAAGCCCTGCAGCTCCAGAGCGCAGTCCGGGATCCGCTCATTTAGCCAGGTCTCAGTGAAGCAGAGGACACAGGATGTGGCGAAGTCCTTGTTTCTTCTCATGAGCAGGCTGAGTTCGTCCATCTTATTGCCCAGTGAGCGTACGTACACTCACCTGGAACACTGCAAAACCAACTTCAAAGATCTTCATCAGCTTCCCTTCTCATTCACCCCATTACAGTTGTCATAAAATTCATAAAAGTTTAAATAGTCTTCAGACTTCACGACTGGACTCACTTGAGGAAATGGGTGGAGTCAGGTAAGCTCCTGCTTGGTTGTAATGAAAACTTCGGTCACACCATGACATTCAGGACAGGTTTGACACCCCTCTGGAACTCTAAATGAATTACAGATTTTAAGAATTGTATTAAATCAATCACCTGGCCTTAAATGTTGATATGAAATAAGTCATTTTATGAGTTATAATGTAACGGGTAAGTCCTGCCTTCCCTTCTCTTAGCCATAGCTCAAAATCCACGATGCCGTCCACTTTAACCAATCAAGTTCGCTTGTGCTCGTATATAATTTAAATATTAAATATATATATTTATATTAGAACGAATATTAGACAGCCCTTAATATTCGAAGCTGTAATGGGAATTATCTTTTTTTAAATGATATATATATATATCATTTAAAAAACCTTTTGCCCTGACGTGGCTAAACCATAGACTTCAAATAGACGGGTAACAGCTAGGCTAGCTAACTAACCAGAAGTCAAGCCAAATATAACTTTTTCTTTTTTTTAACCTAAATCCATAATCAGATCTTCTGCAAATGTGTCCTTAAATGTTCTACTAATGTTAATGGTTACTTCCTGGTTTATCGCAATTGCTTTTTGACGCATTAAAACAGTATTTTTGTCATGAAGACGTTAACAGATAATTCTGAAAACCTCTGTGTACGTGTGTTAAGAATGTAAATGTGTAATGTATTCTCCAATTAACATTTACATGTGTTAATGGATTGATATTTGTTTTTTGAGCGTGGCTAGCTTCGATAGCTTCTCTCGCTAAGATAGAAGTAATAAGCGGCAGGCGCTGAAAGCCCGTTATGACGAAGTGTGCAAACTACTGCCCAGAGTAATCTTAGTATTCTACACACCTGAATTACAAGCACAGAGTGCGTTGCCAAAGGGCAGCGGCCATTATCAAAAATAATAATCGGTAGAACGTTTTGGAATTACATTGAAATCAATGGAGCGTTCTACTGCTGCTGTGAGGAACATACATATACATTATAATACATTATGATTAAATATTCAAATATTTAAATTAATAATCTCTCCTCAGGACGTCTTGGACCATTGACCTGGCGCGTCCACGGAAAAGTTGGAGCAGCTTCAAGACCAATCAGAAAGGAAGGGGGCGGGAGCTTGGGTTGTTTTTTTTTTTTTTCAAATCATTTACCTCTCTCTCTTTTTTCTGACACATTTTTTGTTGGATTGGTTGACTAAAGCTCTCTAAACCTCTATGATTATATGTACCTACCTTACTTACCTGGTTTCAACTCCATGTAAAATAGATATGGGAATTAAATTGTGAATCGAGATTTGTTTGTCACGTGTGTAACAAGCGTCTCGTTTTGTCATTATGCCAAGGATTGTACCTTGTGTGACTGTAATGGCATAACCGTAAACACCTGACCTAATAATTGCTGTTTAAAAAAATAACTGCTTGAACACGCCTCAGCAAAAAACACACGGTCACAAGGCGGTCAAGTGCAGAGCCACCCCAAACCTTGAAGACCATTCTAAGTGAAGCAATAGCATCATGATGGCTGACAGTTAATGTTGATAATAACACACTGGAGAGCTACTTTTATAAAACATAAATGGCAGAGAGCTACTCCTCGTTATACAGTATAATTGTAGTCTATATAATACTGTAAATGCTGTCAATCATTGTGAACACACATGGGTAATAAACCATTATACTGTAGAGTATCTCTGCAATAACGAAAAAAATATATAGTTAAAATAGATATGGAGTCAAAAGTGAATCATTCAGGATCATGAGTTAACATTTTCTATCCTTTGGGGAGCTGCGTGAAAGGGCCACAGGTTGGAGACCCCTGACATAAAGAGTTGATGGTGGGAAGAGTACATGTGGAGAATGAAACATGTATGAATCACTTTAGATTCAATTTCAGTGAGCAAATGATAAGTAGGAAAAGATAAAAATCTATTAAAAGTCAATCATCAATAATGTGGTCATGTTGGCGTACAGGTGTGAGCGCACTGGCTGTCACGGCGCGGTGAAGCGGACAGGTGGACATGTGAACCCGGGCAGGCCAGCCGGTAATTGGACTGGACAGAGCGATGTGACACAAGTGGGCTAGAGCGTGATGGGGGCCGGGACAGGGGGGCCTCTTTGTGGATCATTGGCAGATAATGGGCTCATTAGGCCAGACGTAGCTTAAAAGGGCCCCCGGCTCTCTAAACAAACAGAACAGGCGATGAAGAGATGGACTTAAGGGCCCGACATGAAAGAGATATAATGAGGCACCCCCAGAACCACCAAACCCCCTCTTCCCCTTTCCCTGCTTGCACCGCGCACAGCTCAGGGCAACACCAAGGGCCCCTCCACCGGCCCTGCTCAGCCACTGCACCTGTGGCCTCTTTCATTATGGGCCACTAACTCTCAGTTCAGAATGGTTGGTAAAAGTAAGTAGGTAATCTTTATCTACTATATTTTATTTCACACAAAGCACTTTTACAACATTTAGGAGTACAGATTTGTTTTCCATTCACTCCACTCCAGTCTCTGACCATCACTATTTGTCACTCACTCAATTATATTCAAACCTGTTGTGCGAATTTTTAGTGAGGGAATCCAGAGCACCTGGAGGAAACCTGACAAAACTCCACAGAAAGTCTTGGAGGTGGAATCGAACCCAGGACCTTTTGTTCTATTGGTAATGATGCCATAGCCACAATAACATTATTATTGTGTATGTTAGTTCTACAGCGTGTAAGGAGAGGGTGCCCCAGATTTGTTTTGGTCAAATTCCAGTGTTTTTTTGCGCAGTGGGAACGAGGCTTTGGTCTATTTTTATCAATCCCCAGAAAGAGATCAATACTCTCCCCAAGCGCGCAAACAGTGATAACAAGTGATGCTTCATGGATGTTCCTCTAAACTGGAACAGGTGCATCACGTTGTTCTGAAACCCCCACAAAGTCAATAAACCACTCTCTTTCAGTTCAGACTCCTCACCAAACGTCTCTGTTCACAGGACCTGCTTTGAAATTCAACACCCATTTCCAGACTAACAGCTAACAGGTAGCCCGCTGCTGCTCTATTTCAACATTAGCCTGTGCACTCCCAACAGGGATGCCACTTTCACTTAAGCACCACCTCTGTCCCGCTCCGAACGGATATTGCGGGGCAGCAATTGAAGTTGTCCAACGAATTTCTACAAAGCGTTGGCCTTGAATTCCTTCGCAATCGATTGAAGGCGGTTTGCAAATATAGAGCACATGGCCGTGGTAGATTTACAATGAGAAAAGAACCATTGAGGCGCAGAGATTGTCCCAGTGGCTGCGAGCTTGTTTGCATTAGAAGCGATGGGGTCCCCGTGCTTCCAAGGAGAGGAACTGACTGTGGGAAAGGCCACATGGAAGGGATGCAACAGAAGGAGAATCAAAACTATGCAGATGATGAGTTGGTTGAGTACAATCTTTTCAATTCATTTCAAATAGATATCTGGGAAAATCTAGTTGCTTGTCCCTTTTTTGAACAAACCTGAGCAGCATAGGAGAACACAGAGCACAATGGGTCTGGGTTTTCAGTCTTAATGTTTTTCCAGTTTTTCAGACAGAGTAGAAAATTACAGACCTATTTATGTGCCAATCCACTTCCAAACATAGTTGCTAAGGCCGAGATCTTCGTGACCATAGAGACCTGATCCTTTGAACGTTGTGTCGTATTTGTCCCAAGTACAATTCAAGGAGGCCACCGTCCACACCTTCACATCTGATCTTTACATATTGCATTATTTATAAATGATTGTGTTCAGTTCTATATTAGTCACAGCGATAACTGCTGCATTCTGACCAAAACATTAGTTCAGAATGACCAATCTCGTTGGCCGAGCACAATCATTCACTCACACACCAGACTCATACAAGACACTCTGCGTGAAGTGTCTTGCCTAAGGACACAACACTGCACTTTTCACAACAGAATGTTCACTAATAGTCACCGTTCAGTAGTTGGAATGGGCCTTCAAAAGATGTTTACAAAGCACTAATTTTCTGAAGTGGCGCATCAGAACAGATCTTACACTAAACACAGTCCTGGATCTAATTTGAGATCTAGATAAAGTATTCCTCCCTTAAGCCCCTCTCTGGTTTGTGCTCAAGGGCCACCTGTTGAATGCAGCCTAAATTCTCATGGGTTACACAAGAACAATGGACCACATTAAGATAAACGACTCGCTCTTCACTGGTTGGACACCTACAGTTTTCACAGAGGTCAGATTTTGATCAAAAAACAATTTAAATCCACCATTTCCTCCATGCTTTAGTGTAACAAACTCTCTTGCTCCATATCCTCCGTTCGAGGACAGCACAGCATAAGAGCGTAGGGTTGTAGCTCAGCACACCAAGAGTTTCGTTCTGGTTCTCTCACTGACGCACCAAAAGGCCCAGATCAAGCCCAAATTGTATTTCTACAGCCAACTACGAGCATGCATCATTGAGTTGATTGCACTGCCATCTTGAAGACCCTGGGCTAGGATGCAATAAATTCTCAGAGTCTTTTGTTGTTTTATTCTAGATTTACAAGCTGGAACTTGAATAATCCTTCCTATGGACAACTGGAACTCTACAAAAGTCTGTGTTTAGCTTTATTACTACCAAGCAAAGTCCAAATGGTCGGACTGGAGGGGATCCTTAGTGCGAGGGGGTCCATACCTCCAGCTGCTCCTGTGCTCATCCTGCCGCGAGCTAACCCCAAACACGCACATGCTAACTCACATCTGACTCCCATTAGCCCGCTGATGGAAGACTCGACTCTCACCCGCACTCCCGGGGAAGCAGAGCTGGCCCAAACGGGAGAATATAAGAGGATATGTCTGACAAGTCGAAATTGGACCACGATGCATGCTTTTCCCCCACCTCAAACGTAAGCCCTTTTGGAGGCAGATGTGCAACATGTGGCTGGATAGGCTTTTGTATCGTCTTTTTTGGTGTTTCATTGATATAAAATGTTAACTTAAAGCATCTTGGAGGAATGGATGTCGGAGAGTTCATGGACAAGTCACGGAAAAGTGGGTGAAAAGGTAAAAAGGACGGTTTTATGGGGTTGGTAAGCAGCCAAGCGTTTGTAGACATAGTGTGTTTGATGTAACTGTCAAGCAAATACATTCGTAACAATGAAAATGTGACAGGTGAAAAAGTTCTTCATCTCATGGTCAGACGTCTTGGAGAATCTAAGTTTTGGGAAGCATTGCTCAGTTTGTCGTCAGTCAATCAAAAGCATTTGGATCAATGGGTCTACTTAACCTTCTAAATACACTTAGGGTTCTGCTCTACTCATATTTTACTTTCTTTACGAATCCATGAGGGCATGTCCAAGCAAACCTTTGATTACATCATCTCCTTTAATACAAGTTTAAGTTGTTGCAATGTTAATGTTGAACTGAGATCTGTTGGTTCTGTCTAACACATTCTTGCAAGATTTAACATTTTGGGAGTTTCTTTGTGATACCAAAACCAGGATCAGAAGTAACACTTGGGGACAGAAGCACCTTTCTCCAGAGCTTCAGGAGGCTCCACGACAGTTTGGGAAGGTGTGCTCAGGCCTCGTTATGACCTGTTAATGACTTGTTGATTATTTAAGTACTAAAAACACAACACCTGGATTTTTATCAGTCCTGGTGAATTTGAAATAGTGCCGTATTAATGAGTGAGTGGATGGTGTTGATTTGGGGCTTTGATGTCCCAGTGTGCGGCGTCTGACTGAATGGAAAATATCTGAGCGCTTCGGTGACCTTGGTCAGTAAATGCACTATATGAATAAAGATTACTACACACTTTCTTTCCATATCTGAGATGCAGAAATAGGCTGCTAGAGTAAGCACTACTGTTTTGCCCTCAATTATTTTGGATTTTTATTGCATTTGAAAGTAATATGAAAGATATAACATAGTGCATATCTACAAACCTGACTCCTGCAAGAGGTCCTCAAATCTTTTTCAATGAAACATATAATTTTAACTTTATATTTTAATGATGAATCACTTCTGATGTTTCATAAAATGTGTAATTTGAAATCAAAATGTGAAACTCTCAAACACTTCAACATTATTTGCACTGTGCTGCCCTCTCCTGAACAAAAAACGCTATTGAGCCATGTGAGAGCTCTGTCAGGGACCTCCAGACCTGTTGCATCCACACAATCCTCCTCCTTGACTGAGAATGAGGCGCCCTGAGTCCACACCACATGCATCAGGGCGTTTGGCTCCCGAGTCTTAGAGCCAGAGCTGACGCCTTGCGAAGGAGCCCCTGATCCACCAGAGAAAGTCCAATAACAATATGAAAGTCATTTGTGCACCTGACAACGCATTCACAGACCATTACAGTAGAATCTCTACAAGTTGAGTTTTCATGTTTCAAGATTCCCTCATCACATCATGAATTTGTCGCTGGTGGTGCTTTCTGCTCCATAATTAGATACAAATATCTTCCCCTGTCCCTGTCCCCTCTGTCCAAACATTTCATTTTCAAACTCATAGTGTTGCTGCCTCTACATTACATTCAAGCTCAAACTCAAATGACTTAAAATAGATTGTGACAGATACTTCATTGATCCCCATAAGGAATGAAAGCACTTTTCCGTATGTTTTTGAGAATTTATAAAACATAAAAAGCCAATCTTAAACCTTTACTTTGGTCCAATGTCTGTGTTTAGAAAATATGTGTAGGAAATAGCAGCAGCTGTCATGGTGGTCAAAACAGAGCAATTTAAGGCATAGTGGAGCAGTTTGAATACAGTAATGATTTGATTGCAGATATTACTAATTAAAAGGCACAAAAGTTCACAGTAGTTCTATGATGTTACAGAGGGGCCAGGGGGTGGTGGTGGGGGTGCTCCTCTCCTCTTCAGTCTGACAGGTGTGCATTTTACCCCCAGTTTGCTGCAGGTGAGAAAGGTGCACAGCTTCTCATTAAAGCAGATGTCTTTGGGGGTTAATTAGCATGAACTACACATACTGTACAGGCCCTGGCGGCATGGTGTCGTGTAAGAACCTGTGTCGGTTTTTCAAAGGTATGACCAGGACATGAATGTGTAAAAATATAACAATCAAACGGCGTTTTACTTTTTAAGTCAGTCTTCTAAAGTCACAGCGCCGTGCACCCAGGACACACAAACACAACATCAAACAAAGGAACAAAGAAAAGAGCTCTCTCACTCATACAGTACAACACAAAGCATACACACTCACTCAGACAGGACACACACACTCACTCAGACAGGACACAGGCCCAATCACTCTTTGACCCTACACCCCCAGAGGGCTAACCACTCTGCCACAGTGCCTGGTCTGAGCACAGACTTCAGACCAGAACCTGAAAGTGTCATCAGACTCTGGGCAGATGTGCGTCAGCTGCAACGCATCATCTCAAAACACATTTATTTTAAAATTTTCTGTTTTAATTCCTTAGGTGTCAGTTAAATAGTTGTTAAATGCGTTTCTCATGATTTGTAGTTTGAAGTTGGATTCTCAAAAGTCAAAGAATGGAAAACGTTATAATTGAAGCAATAGTGACGCCTGGTGGTTATTTAGTAACAGTTGTTCATCCCAATAGATAATGTCTTAATAAAGGTGCAGAAAGCATTTTTGTTAGCTTAGCCGTAGCACCAACTCGAAACCACTCCCCCCTCCCTTCGCCTCTCCACCAAACCAAACAGCAGCATTTTCTTTTCTTTTCAACAGGGTCACAACTTTGTCACAACAGTGGGTGTTTAGAAAATCTGATAACTCAGGTGAGCGCACTCCGAGAAACAGGAAGAAGTTTGAAGGAGGGTAAATGCATCCCATTGGTTCGTTGGGGATGAACGAATCCCATTGGTTTATTAAGGTTCAGATACAATTGTATCGGTCCGCTCCAAAATATTCTTTATTAATTTTTGGAGACTATCGGCATCTGGTCAATTTCATTACTATTTGAAAACACATGATATCTTGACTACTTTTTTAGGGTTTAGGGACGTTTTTCCACAATATTTTAAAAACTGCGTCTGGAAAAAAATCACTGACTGCGTCTTTAAATACAATTTTAAGAACAAATCAAACAAAAACATGGTGCTTTCATCTTAGTAGAACACATTTTAATTTCACGTATTGATTGGCTGAATGAGGGCTGGCTCTCTTCTCCTCTAAACATAGAGGCCAAAATTACATGCATGTGAAAACTAATAGAAATTTCTTCTTACACTGTTCATATGTTGTGGTTCTTGTGAAAATAAAGCCGGGTTTAAATTATTATGTAAAAGTAAAGTGCCACAACATGCTGTCTTCAGTTTTGTGAGAAAGAGCCTATATGAGTCACTATTGCACAAGGGTCATACAAATAAATGCAAAGCAAGTATAGTTGTATAGCACATTTCAGATACGAGGAAATTCAAAGTGCGTGACAAAACAAGAAAATAAAACAAGGCATTCTTCTGTTGTATGCCGCTACAGAACTGTTTCAACCACGATTGGAACATTGAGTAGAAGCTTTTTCAGGAAGACTGTTCCAGATTTTTAGCTGCACTCGAGCTGCAGTGCTTTGAAAATACTGAATGTGAAAACTTGAGATGGAAACAAACGGTTTAACGAGGAAGTAATTTGTTTGTATGGATTACATTACAACACATCACATTATTAAATAGCATTTTAGTTTGAAAGCAAGCGACAACAGCTTAAATACAGTCACTCCTAACCTTTTTTTATGCAAGCCAGCTTTGCAAAAATAGAAAATTCTTTGTTTTGATTTCCCCCTTGCACTTAAAAAAACATCCAAAAGTAGAGAAAGTGCACCTGTTAGAAACACACTTCCACTGTTCTGCCACTAGGGCGCAGCAAAACCACACCTAACCCTCTGCAGCCCTGTACCTTGGTCTTGCACACGTACACCTGCCCCCGCTCTCACACACTAGGCTAAGACCCCCCAAGACTTTAAATGAAGGTCACTTTGGCACTGTCCCCAAAACGCACGCTCCAAATCAGCCCCATGTCTGTCACCGATCCGCCGTGGATGACCTGCGCCACGTCCAGGGCCTTCTTCACACCCTGCTGTGGTATTGACTTTGACCTTGGAGTAGATTTGTGAATGGGCTAAAGTCTTTCACGCGCATTAGACTGACGCCCGTTGCCTTGGAGACTCGCGGCAGCATCACGTCTCTCATCAGGAGGAGAAGTGTGTGCGTGGAAATGGTGCAGGGTGTAATGTTATCTCAGTCTATTGTGGAAAGGCACTGTTTACTGTCCTTTATTTACCATTTCTGCTTTTAATTTAATTTGAATTTTTAAATATTGCATTGTTTCAAGTCCAATGTCGAATTATAGAATAACAACTGAAGGACTGTATCTTTACGCACTGTGAATATTTATTTTTATTTTAATGCCTTGTAGTTTTTTTTCTTTTTCTTGTTTTGTTAATCATTTCTTTGAGTTTCCTTGTGTGTGAACAGTCTTATTCAAATAAACTTGCCGTACCCTTCCCTCGTAACTGTTTATTCATATATTGGGCTAAAATCATTTGTATTCGACCCCACCCCTCTTTTGCATGTTCTTGCTGTGAATCTTGCTGCTGGGGCGACAGTAGCTCAGTTGGTAGAGCAGTGGCCTTTGGGCCTGGAGGTCGTGAGTTCGAATCCCACCATGGGACCTACTCCAACTGCTCCCACTGATGACTGCTGTCGTTGTGTCCTTGGGCAAGACACTTAACCCCACGTTGCCTGAAGCCCCCGCTGAAAGATCAAGGCTGTATCACAACTGATGGAGCAGCTGTCTTCCTGTGGACCCACCCCCTGCAGAAGATCAGTGAGGGACTGGTGCTATGAGCATTGGGTGGCAGCTCTCATTGCCACCCCCCCAACCCAGAAATGGACAAATAAAGGGGTTGAAAATGAAATGAAATGAAATGAAATGAAATGCTGTGAATCTAACATTGCACTGCATGGTTTCAAACTGTTTTCATTTTGAATTGAAGATGATATTTATCCAATTGAATACATTATTTTTGGTACCTGTATGAAATAAATATTGCTGTTATACCAACAATTTGAGTATCCTTAGTTTAAATTACATGATTTGGTAACACTTGGCCATATACCGCCTTGCCTTACCCAGATCTAAGTTGCCTGCTGTCCCAGAGCAACCATAACACAACAATGTACTGTATAATGACCAGAATCATGTTAAAGTGACCAGAATACTGTTGGCCAAGTGTGACCAAATCATGTAATTTAAACTAAGGAGACTCAAATTTTCGGTTTAACAGCAATATTTATTTCATATAAGTACTAAAAATAACGTATTCAATTGGTTAAAAATCATCTTCAATTCAAAATGCAAACAGTTTAAAACCATGCAGTGCAATGTTAGAATCACAGCAAGAACATGCAAAAGAGGGGTGAGGTCGAATTCAAATTTTTTTATATATGAATAAACGAGATAAAACAGTGGCCAGCTTTGCACCAGAGCCTCATGCTGTTAAAGCATGAACTGCAGCCGTGTAGATTGCCTCAGGTTAGGGACTGCATTGTCATTTTTTGAGTCTTAAAGCATGGGGTATCTAACTTTTTTTCTTGTCATAAAAAACACATTTTGTTTGTTCCAACAATAACATGTGAGAAAATTAGACCACAACATTTTTATTTCATGAGATGTGATGTTTTATGAAATGTGTTTGTCTTTGGCAAGAAAGTGCTCTGGGAGTAACTTTTTTAATGTTTTGACAGCTGATTGGCTGAATGAGGGTGGTCGTATATATTGTCTTGTGCACACTGGGGACTTTTGCAAATGTACTCAAATGTGGTTTTACTGCAAATGGCAAAACAATTAATCTGTCTGTTATTTGTCTGTTAGCAAAAGCTGATCTAAAGATGCTGATAGTCTATCACTGATGGTAGCATACATTCTAATGAGATACAGACAGCATGATGTGGTCAGAAACGTCCATAACATTTTACATTTATAAAACTTAGGACAGCAAACAACATGTATGATTTGTGAGGGGGAAACCACAAGTCTGGGCGTCTAAGATTCAGATTCAGATTCATTTATTTGCCATTTGCAGTAAAACCACATTGGAAAAACTGTGCAAGACTACCCCATAGCTCTTAACCTTGCCTGCAAGCTGAATTCTCGCGGTATTTGTGAGTTCACAAACACTCGAGAATACATCTTGTACCGCTCCCGCTTACACTTTTCGAGTCGAACCACTGGGTGTGCGAGCCAATCACGCGCCAGTCTGGGGGTTTAGGGCGGGATATCCGGGTTTGACGAAAGCAAGAAGTGCCGGGCCGAAGCAAAACAAACATGGCTACGCAGGAGGACGGACGCGTAGCTGAGGCTATCAAGTCAGTTTTAGCAGAATCTCCAATTTCTTTTTTGAAAGATGAACAGCGAGAGGCGCTTTGTGCATTTCTGGACGGCAACCTTGGTAGGCGGGCACACAGCGTCACTTCGCCCAATCAGCTTGAAGTATTCTGCTGCTTATCCCTCCTTTCCCCGAAAGGATTCTCCGGGAGAAATCCCAGATTGATATCGTGGAGAACGCGTTAGAGTTCTACACAATCATCAATCTGGCTCTTGCCAGGTTACAGAGCTCTTGCCACGGCGCCATCTTTACGCCGCCATGCGACAAACAGTAATAAACAGCAGAGAGCAGTAACATACATTTCACAGAAAGTTTGGATAAACACAGTATGGGCGGCTGAGTGGATAGCACTCTCGCCTCTCAGCAAGAAGGTCCTGGGTTCGAATCCCGGTCGGACCAGGGCCTTTCTGAGTGGAGTTTGCATGTTCTCCCTGTGTCTGCGTAGGTTTCCTCCGGGTACTCTGGTTTCCCCTACCACAAAAAATATGCCCAATAGTTCTGGCATGCGCCTCCTGTACTGGCGACCCCGCTCCCATCTCTGTGTGGAGTGAGAGACAAATGCCCAACAATTAACAATTGTAAACCGCTTTGAGACTCAGATCTGTAGTGAAAAGGCGGTATATAAATAAAGATTACTTACAGTATGTTTTGGATAAAACACGGACGTTTTTATTATGGAAATAAACTCAGTCTGCTTAGACTGCTGCCCCAGTGACCCGGCAATGGATGAGGAGGAAGAAAATAGGTGGATGGAAACAACACTGATTGCTTGCTCGATGATTGAATACGGTGGCTATATTTAAACATTAAAAACACTTGAAGGCCCATTCTCTTTTTGAACATCACTACGCAATAATTTGTCGTAACATATGAACATATAATGAGTGTCATATCAACCAACGCAGACTCTGCGGAGCACAGGGACTGACCTCCTGCTATTGCCCGGAGTGTGGACTAAACTTGTGGAGGCAGCATTTCAGATTTACGCAGCTGAAATCTAGAACAGTCTTCCTGAAAATGTGAGACAGGCTCGACAATGTTCAACTCCAGGTTAAATAGAGTTCTGTTTAGCTGTGCATACTGAAGAATTGGATTTTCACCCTATTTAATGTGTGTATGATTGTGTCTATCTTGTTTTGTTAAGCCCTTTGATTTTCCTGTATATATTTGTATAAACTGTGCTACACAAATAAACCTGCAATTTCACCATCCCAACATTTCCAAACCAAACCCAAGGAAAAACAAAATGTCATATGCTCATTTGCGCGCTGGCTCTGCACTATCTCCATTCATTCCATCTCATTCAAAAAAAAAAATCCAACAGCATCACGACACCTTTCTTTGCCCTTGATCTGAGAACCGCATCATCAACATTCTATTCCCAGCCAGGACCCGCGCCGAGGCTCCTGACGCCACCAGCTCTGCGCGCTCCCATTGGCCCGTCACTTGTGCCATCATCCAGCCGCGTGTGGAGGTGTGTCCCGGGGCTCTGCATGTGGCTATAAAGCGCGCACCGGGGAGAGGGCTCTGCAGGGGCACACACGTCAACGAAAGGGGAAAAGCTTCTGAAGAACAAAAGGGGTCGGACTTTGTATTGGACTTGAGGGTTAATCGAGTTTGGAGTTTTGGATTCGGCGCGCGTCACAGGAGCAGGTGGTGATACATGTCTGTTTCTACCTTCGTTTACTGGTGAGTGGCGTTGTGTTTGAGTGTCTGTATGGAGAGTGGGTCGGGAAGTTGGCGGCATCTTTACAAGAATGTGTGTTTGAATGGAATGTCTAATGTTATGTCTTTGGGGTGAATATGTTCCTCTGGTTTACGACGCGTGGAGCAGGTCATGTGGATTCAGCATAAAGGCAAAAAGATTGTAAACGAAATTAAAATCAGATTTCCTTTTTATGCTTCTTGTATTAGACAGTTCTAGTTATATGCACATTGTTAGACTAACAATACGTATTTATTTGATAGAGAAAAAACTCACTGCATCCTGCAACACTACAATCTTAAAGTTGAGGCTAATGGCTTTTCTCAATTAATAAAACACCATTTACTTATTTAACTTTTGGAAGCATCAAGCAAATGACAAATTGCTTTATACTGAAACAATGCTGAGCAGTATTTACATAACATTCATACCTAAAAGGAATGATAAAAGAAATTAGGGAGGCAGGGGGTGTCTCGGTGTCATATCATCTCAGTTCTTGATGTCAATGGGATGAAAAGACGCACTCCACGCAGTGATGATTTAGGCGAAACAGGAGCACCCGGAGGAAACTATTTGCACACATAGGGAGAACATGCAAACTACACACTGTTGAAGCACAAGCGATAACCACTGCCGTCCTTTAGTAGCAGGATTTCTACCTGAGCTCTGGAGTCCAGGACAGTTTCTATACAGCAACCTGGCTTCCCACAATTTCCCCACATATACTTTTCTTGTATTCATTTCTCTTATTGATTTGGGCTGTTCTAATTCTTGAAGAGCATCGAGGCTCTACTATTTTTCACTTTCACTTTCACACACAAGTAAAGTAAAAATGTCCCTCAATTCCTTGATCGTCACATGACTGTCCTCATCCATCCATTTTCTTCCACTAAAGTCGTTCTTCGGGAGCAGGGACCACCAGACTTCCCACATCTGGCTTCTTTATCAGTCAATGAAACAAATCAATTTAAGAATAAATCATGTCATGCTAATTATTTTTTACTGGGAATTTTTCCAGTCCAGCCTGCCCCTCTAATGCTCTTTGTGTAAAACAATATTATACAAACAAGGTTGTATAAATATATAGTGAATTTGAAACCCAACATGCCACTATAGGGCAAAAACACGAGCGAGTGGGCTTGCATCTTTACTCCCCCCAGCATGGAAAAACTGTCTCTATGGCTATAATCTTCCACAGTCTGGTATTCCACTGTGATAAATAGAATCAATAAGCCAAGAATAAGAGAAAGCTTTTGTTTTGATGAGCTGTGGTGGCTGTAAAACGACCTACAAATGAGATTTCAACTAAATGAAACTTTTGGACGCCACAAAACTATCTCGTGTGTATCTTTTGTGTATACAGTATATCTTTTGAAAACAAGATTCTTTTTGTAGTTTCTTTTGACGGTCGTATGAGATGGTGCTACAGGTCTTGCTCTGTGCGTGCTGCATGTGAAGGGAAAGGGGAAACTCCAGTGGGTGAAGTGAACCAGGGAAAGTACATGTTTTATTTCTGCTTTAGAGGTGGCCTGCTTTAGTCATCAGAGACTTCAGACTATTAGGGCACAAATAGACAGATTATAATGAGGGCATGCATGCATTTCCACATTTAGTTTTTAGAGTGATTACTTGTTTTTCTACACTCAAGACACCGTTGTTCTCTTCACCTCATTTTACTAAATTTTACCCCAATCCCTACGTCCCATGTCCGCACAAGAGAGCTGTAACCAGTTAACCGACCAATCGCGGCTAGGTCTGTTTTGGGCCTAGTTTTATTATTTTTTTATCGTCTTCTTTTTCTTTGTTCAGGTGGAGTGATCTTTGCTATTTTCTTTGTAAAACAATTATATTTTAGCTGTAATTGGTTCAGTTTAAAATGACCTTATGCTGCTGTTTATTTTTCTAAGCAATATAAACTTTTACTATTTTACTACCATTTTTGAGCCTTTTGTATTTGCACCAGTGGCATAAAGTAGTTTTGATGTTATAGTTCAATCAGCATGAGTTATTATCGCAACAAATCAAATATTGACTAATTTAGAGGCTTACATAGACTTAAACGTGCTGAGAAGAAGTTTTATGGCTTTGCTACTTCTATAATGATTGCATGAAATGAAAATGATCCAATGTGTAAACGGTAATCTTTATGCTCTCCAGGGGCATCACTTCAGCTTTGTTTTGGTCAAATTAATAAAAGAAATCTCATTCACTAAGCTATTGGGAACCACAAAACAAAATTGATTATTAGAATATTGTTAATTTCAGCCCTTGTTGACACTAACACCAAAAAGAACCAGACGCAAATGGCCTCTGCATTTCTTCCACCTATAGTCCCTTGTTTGTGTCTAGTTTTGAATCGGTTAAAGACATCGAAGGAGACCCCAGCTATTATTGCACATTATCATCAGCAGTTCTTTTTCTGCGAGATGTGACTTTGAAACAAGCCCCTGGTAACAGAGGACATGAGGAGGAAGTCGTCAGCCCACGTCTTTACTGTAACCACGATGCACTTTCCGAAGCACTGTGTTTTCAGGAAGGCATCTGCAAAATACAAGAGAAAAAAAAAAGGCAGTGGAATTTAAAGGGTGAGAAAATATGAAATGGAACTGTGTGTGTGGTGGTGAGAATAACAATGTATCGTGCTGCGAGGAGACTTCTTTTAAAGTTGTGCTGAGCTACTGAGGTGTTATTAAAGGGGCAGTGTGTGATGGGCATTCTCAGTGGTCTAATAAAGTTACAATCAGGGCTGGCACGGTAACCGATGTAGGCACCAACCTTTCACAAAACGTATTGTAAAGTTGGCGCAGTGTTAAGCGTTTGTGGTCCTGGGTTTGAGTCCACCTCCAGACAGGGACTTTCTGTGTGGAGTTTGCATGTTCTCTTTGTGTCTGTGTAGGTTTCCTCCAGGTGCTCCGGTTTCTCCAACTAAAAACGATACAATAGTTCTAGCATGTGCCTCCTGCGTGCAGGTGACCCTTCTCCCATCTCAGAGAGGAGTGAGAGGATCATGCACACAACAATTGATTTTTTTTTTTTTGCGATTAATGACTTGAACTTGTTACAGCCCTAGAATGAAGATAGTTTTAGTGTTCTGTTTCAGAGAGATGGTGAATATGTAAATATATTACATGGTCTGTTGGGGCTTCCATCAGGTAGCAACCATCTTTTTTGCAGTAGTTTATAAAGCCAGGAAAAGTCATTTGTGGATTGAGGAACTGCATGAGGGGAAAACAGGAAATTTAGAATCACTGTTGGATATTACCTCAAAGTGTGAAACTCCGGGGCATTCCCACGCTGCATGGAAATATGTCTGAAAAAGTTGTGACAGAGGCTAAAAGTATATGTACGTGAAAACTAGTGATAGAACCAAAGTATTTTAAGAGTAATGTACTAGTGACTTGGATTATATCACATAGTTAAAGATGCAGAATTGGAAAGGGGAGCATATTGATCAATGGGGCGGGAACACCTAGCCTGGCCATCTGTAAACTCCAGTCAATTATCATTTCTCTACATGTACGTCTGGGTCTGCTGCTACCGCTGTATCCCATCCGTCCATTCAGGGAGCGGGAGAGGCGGGTGTTGTAGGCAAGTAGGTGTCGGTGACGTCAAGAGTTTACGGCAAATTTGCTGGTTGTAGTTTGGCAATGGCGACAAATGCGATAGTAAAGTAATCCGTTCTGGTTCGAATCCAAATATCAAGAAATTGAAGCCGGGGCAAGAGGAATGTTTAGCAAATTACAATGCTGGTAAAGATGTTGTGGCTCTAATCCCAACAGGCCCGGTTAGTGGCAAAGGAGATGACTAAAGCTAGGCTAAAGGCTAAAGGTCTCACTCACTCTGGCGCATTACATACGTCACGGCAAACTCGGATCCAATCTTTTCAATCTGCAAAAGGAGTTGACTCTTCCCACCTGACCCCTCAATAGAGCATTTCTCCTGTGTGAGATCAAAAAAGTATAATTTATCTTAAATCCAGACCTTAGAACAAAATGGAATTTGTACGATGGAGTGGTAAGACCAGGCTAGGGGGCACCTGATTCTTGTTCCTGATTTTATCTTGGATGTAGCTAAAAGCAACTGTTCTTGGATTTGTTGCTTTAAAGTGCATTGTTGCACTGTGCATTGTGTGCTCTTCCTCTTCATTGTTTCTTGATGTTTTGAGGCCGCTGCTGTTATTCTCCGGATGCAGGATGTTCATATGATCCATGGGCACGGCCGCCCTCACCACTCTTCTCAAAATGCTACTTTTTAATGAATGCATTTAACACTAGTGAGAACCAGATGATGTCTTATATAAATTAAATGTACTCACGAACACCTGTGTGCTGAGATTGAGGTGTGAAAACCAGTCTGTTTGGTGCAACTGGATCGTACCATTACTACCGTGTTTGTGCTGCACTGGGGCCACATTGATATTCAAAACTTATGTATTCTAACACATAAAAATCACATCTTATTTTATAAACCGCTTTTCATACAATAAATTCAACACTAAGAGCTTTACAGTAGATCATAAACGATGCCTATTGACTCGTTTACCCACCCAAGAGAAGCACCATCCAAGGAGCAGTCTGCACCAGGAGCAGAGAGCCAAAAAAGTACGGTCTGCACATGTTCTTTTGTTTTGTTTTGGTTTTGTTACGTGATGCAAAGGCAGGAAACGTGCTGTGTTTTGGTGCACTGCGGAAACTTGTGCTGCTGCTGTTGAGCCTGTGTGAAAATCATGTTGACATTTGCCAAAAGTGTGGTTTTTAAACTGTATGTTCAGAAATACTGTACAATACTCGATGATTGTTGCTGATGTTGTGGAAACCTAACTTTATTTTTTTTCCCCCCTCTTTTCATACAACATTGTTCTTGGTTGAACTTGTTGTAGCCCCATCCACGCTATTATCTTGTCCTCTGCTTTTTTTTTCTTCAAATATATTTTTAAGGAATCAAACAAATGATTCTTTACAACTGCACACACTTCAATTAGACC